ACTCAAATTTACACAATAAACTTGTACAATTATCACAATATAAAATTGTATAAACTAGGATATGCTTATTGTGCTTGCATATCTAACTTAAGGTAAATGCACTCATACTGTTTATTCCACTTTATGAAGACTAATAATTTAACTGTGGATGTTCAAAGAAATTGATATATGAATGTTTACAAAATTTAAATGAATTATGCAATCTGTAAGATATGCAGTCTGTGAGTTGAATGAAATATGTTTACTTTACAGAACTTGTGAACTATTTCATTTTAATAAGAATGATAATTTAACTGTGGATGTTCATGCATTTGTATATCAAGGTTTACAAAATTTAAATGAATCATGCAATCTGTAAAAGTACTTTACAGAACTTGATATATTATAATTCATGAACATCTACATCTCATAATTCTAAAATGAATGAGTAAATCTAAGCATGGTTCTAATATAAATACATTGTCCACTATGTTCATAAGCCATGAATTTTATAAAGAATCTATATTAACATTGCATGATTGTTGTTTTATAGAAAAGTCTTCATATGATAATAATAAATGTTTACTCTTAAACAATTACATTCTCATGTGTCCAATAACAAATTCATTTACCTCAAGCTTCATTGAACAACATACCAATAAAATTGGTATAATATTTTGGTTACTTCTAATACAATTATAAAAACTTAATTAAGAAAGACAACTGCTTCTGTGTTTGTACTACAACTTTTGTAAGTAGTATATCTATTAGAGTACTCCAATGTTAATTATATTATGGCCTGATTCCGAACACGTGTAACATGCAGAAAATATTAATAGCTTCATCTATCGAGAAAACAAGAATTCTGTCCAAGTTTCATTTCCGTTCGCACTTTCTACAGAAATATGAAATCGAATAAACAAGCACGTTTCATGAATTCAGTATTATTTTTCGATTTCGCAAAAATGTGATAAACAAACAAAACGTCGATTGTTGTTTCGCGAACTATAACAAATGTTTCCGCGAAACGTTGCGCAATACCGTTTTACTCATTCACTTCTTTCGCATGATCAACGGTTAAGAACAACAAATCCGTATGTTTTTCCAAATCGTTTCGACCGTCTGTCTAGTTTTATTCGATCGTTTAGGAACGCTTAAATCAGTGCCGAGAAACGTACAACCGCATCGCGTCAATATCTTAAAATAGCAACAATCTGTTTAACAACGATCTATTGAAAAAGAAACAGAAAGATCATCTTGGAGAGGACCTCTATGTTTCTTTCACACGTGGACCGACAGGGTGAAAATAGCGCGTAGACACATTGTAATAACAATTATTGAAACGTTCACTGCCACTGTGAAAATCGGGGGTAGAAGAGGGGAGACATATTGGAAACTGAGAGTACTAGGCGTGGCGACGTAACGCGTCCAAATTTTAATTTACAAATTTTCGTCATTTTAAACTGCAAGATTTAAAAATTTTCAAATACTCAATTTATAAATTTTTAGTTCCTGAGTTTGCAAATTTATGAATTTACAAATTTACAAATCCTCAAGTTTCCATATTTCCAAATTTGCAAATCCTCAAGTTTCCATATTTCCAAATTTAAATTTCCAAATCCTCCATCTCACGTGTGGTAACACAATGGAAGACTACACAATGAGTAGCAATGCATCATGCGGCAATATAACGCGTGGTATCACTTGCGACAATATAATGGTAACATCACTCGCAGCAGTACAACGCTTGTTAATACAATACTTGTTAATACAACGCTTGTTAATACAATTCTTGTCAATACAATACTTGTTAATATAATACTTGTTAATACAACGCATGACAATACAATTTTACCAATTATCAAGCTAATAAAACGCTCATAACATATTTATTAAGCTACTGACCAGCCATGCCCTAACATCCCCTAACTCAAACTCAAATTATACAAGTATTATAAAATACCTATCAGTCGTGACAATAAAGTGTACGCGTAGCAACGAAGGGTGAGAAAGCAGGCGAAAGTTCCGGTCAGTTTGCTCTGCACGCGAGACGACCATGATAGGCAAGCATTAGGTTGTCGCGATCGCGCGTGTCCACGAGGCCGCGGCTTTATAAATAGTTCGGGCGAGTTTCACCGCGGTAGACGGCTCTGGATGCCCTCTCGAGAAAGCACCTTCGTCGGCCTTCGACCGGTATACGCTTTTTACCGAAATACGACGGTGCGCTGCGACCTTCCCGTCCTCGCCACGCGATACAAGCTTTTTCGAGGCGAGCGACCACCGGTGGACGCGTGCCAAGTCTCTCGGCCACTTTGTTGCTCGAAAGCTGGCCGATTTTGGCCACGCGAATCGAAACGGGGCGTTCGTCCAACGTACACTGGAACGCGAACTTCTCTTCCTTCCTTACTTTTCGAATTTCGTTCTTCGATCGCAACTTACACGGCGAAAGAGAGACAAAGGCACCTGTCGTCGCTCGAGGAACACACAACGATGATAAACGTTCACGAATAGAAGGTAAAAGCGATATGGTTTACCTTGAAGGGTCAGAGGAGCAGTGTCGGTGTGTATTGGGAGCCTACGCGCCGAGGAGACTGCGCGAGCAACAGCCTCTCTGCCAGCAGACTCCTCGTTCCGGTGGTTATCGTCGCCGTCGGAGCTGGTGGTGGTGGTGGTGATGGTAGCGACGCTACCGTTAAAAGCTTACCGTCACCCGGCTCGAATTAGACCGCCCTGAAATAGTCCGAGTTATTGCCGCCACTGTGAACCAGCCTGGATGCATACCTCGCTATCGCACGCGTCCTACGGGATGCAGTGTACGCGGTGCTTCCGCTATCGGTCTCTTCGTGTCCACGTTGCCTCACGTACTGTGAGCACCTGGTCGAACACACCGCATCAATGGAAAAGCGGTAGACAGTATCCGGGATTTTACGTTCCAGTAACTGCATTGATCATCATGTACCTGTGACCAGCTGCTTCTGCCGTTACGAACAGAGAATGCGGACGAAGAGAGTGAGCTTCGAGTTTCACCGGTTACGGGAACACCTGATGGTAAGGTACTTTATTACAGGATTTCAGCGGTGATTACAAGGTTTGAGACTTGATTGCGCTTGAAAGTTAATCATAGGTTTAGTACTTTGAGGTGTTGGGTTCGCCAAACTGTTTTGTCTCTTTTTGAAAAGACCAAGATACTATAAGCTTATTATACCTTGTTATAAGAACAAGATCATTTAATCATCACTGACCATATAATGTTTAGTTCAATAGAACCTGCAGTATTCATAGGAATGTTTTTGAAATAAAATTTCATATAAATTGTAACATCTATTGACAAAGTCATCATTCTTTGCTCAACCCTTTGTCAAGATGATTAAGTTCAAGTAATCAAAGGCCACTTTGGTACCTACCTTTCTAGTCAAAGTTATTTTGAACTAATTGTGATGAGTATCATTAATCTTATAAACTTTAACTCCTCTTCAATTCCTCAATTTATTTTTGTTTTAGTTTCTTCAAGACTGTAAAAATACCCTGAAACAGAAAAGGCAAATGAAGTATTTGAAACGAAGACTGGCAAGTATTAATTATTACGATGAATTCAACACAGACCTCCTAATAATATTTCATATTTAATATTCATGTTTCCTTCTTCTGGTAACTGATGTCTGATCACTGTCCTAATCTACTAACATCCTCACTTGAGTTACCTGTAAAACCCAATTAACGTTATATATTAGTCAGCACGTTTAATTAATAAAGAATTCTTTAGAACTAATTGGAGCCAGCCAACTAATTTATTTCATATTAGAAATGCATTTTACAACTTTCTAAAATACCATCTTATAAACTTCCAAAACCTCAAACTGTCAAATTTGTAACTTCTTAAGTTTCCAAATATTCAAAAGCCTCTTTATGTCCGATGTGGGTCATTGACACCATTAGCCAAACCAATTGACGAGTCTTATCCCAGCCAAAAATCCAAATTACGCAACAAGTAAAACACGACTGAACTTTTTTCAAATATTCCGTTCTAGACGTACGAGGAAGTACGAAAAAACCTCTGGTCGAGGCACGATCGTCATCGCTAATGCAGGCATCGAAGTCTCCCGCGTGCCATCGGACATGCCTCGCGATCCACGCTCACGTGTCCCGTCTCGTGTCGTCATCCGGGATCATCGATCGGCAATCTGCCGAAATAAAACGTCGAGACTCTCGTTTCGTTCCGAGCTACCTTTTCCTGGCTCAGCTGATCGCGAACACCTTAAGTCTCCGTTCATCTCCATCGACTCCGAGCCCCACTAGTCTTTCTCTTTCATATCCCCTCTCGAGACTGTTGTCCTCCTACCACCATACTGGAAATCACTTTCGAAGACCCGTTAACCTACTGGGGGCTTCAGTGTTCACGTTGTCTTCGTACCACCATGTTAGCATCGCAAGTGTGTCTGTAGTGCACCTTGGTTTGGAGATAATCATCCTCGAATGCTAACAATTCACCGTGACCGAAGGTACAGCTAACACACAAAACAACTTTCAGAAAGTTACAGAGTTAACTTAATCTATTTGCGTTATTCGACTGATACTTAGGGAGAGCCGATGCTAAGAGGTTTGCGAGAGAACTGACCAGTTCCTCCAGGGTCGAGGGACATCTTCAAGGATGAAGGGATGGTTCGACGCTTTTCGCATCGATGGAGGTCCAACGCTGTACAGCTACAGCAATCGCACTCCCGTCACCGGTGATGTTCCCCTGGTGATCGTGTTTGTGATATTCGGCACCATTTTCACGGCGTTCCTAGTCATATTTCCTGGCATACGAAAGGAGGTCAGCATTTCTTTAAGCGTAATCATGACAAAAGAATAATTGCGTTTCTTGCATCCTGTAGAGATTCAGCACGTTCCTCACGGTGACCTTGAGCCTCTTTGTCGGAGCGTCGATTCAAGGTTCGTACGGTCCACTTTAGCACAATTAACTGACTTCTGAGGAGCAGAGAATGAGGTGACACGTTTATGATTGCAGTCGCACAGTATGGATCCTCTTGGCATACCAGCTCCGCCACCATCGTCAGCACGTATAGCGCGTTCTCTAGACACAAAGCGGTCGCTGAAATTGGGGGATACATTGGACTGATGCATATAAATATTACTTACAAACGTGAGTCACTCGAGGAATGTTCTTTAGTGATAGTACTGTTTGTCCGAAATTAGTACTTCAAGGTTAACATGAAGGAACACATTGTTCAATGTATATGGAAATGTATAACATAGTATATGGTGCCTATAACGCAGGGCTACAGTCTCTACCTATATTATACAGTTAATAGTTTTAATAATCACCGCATTTCTATCTGAATTAATCAAAACCCATTTACAAATCTAGTGCTACCCAGCAGCGAAAATCCAATGGACGACGTAGAGTACAACGAGCGATTCTGGTGGAGAAGTACAGGAGAAATGACCAGCGCCTTCAAACAAGCCCTTAACCAAGGTGCACCATTTCCTATCGTTTCCCTAGCTGAGTACTTCAGTCTCCATCAAGAAGGTTTCTCCTGGGGAAGCAAGTACCGACAGGCTGGATATTACGCATCGCTCATACTCTGGTATGTCACAGAATCGCTTTAATATTGAGTCATTACTTGTTCATTTAATAGCTTGACTTTGTATCTTTCTATTAGTCGATTAATCTCTTCTGTAGGACATCCTTTGCCTCCTGGATTATGATGAACCTGCTACTGGTAGTTGTGCCACGGTACGGAGCGTACGGAATGATCTTCACCGGTATTTGTATGCTGATAACGAACCTGACTTATTGGGTTCTTCTACCTTGTGAGCCACTGATAGCTCATGTGGATGGATCGATTCTTGCTTTTGACTTGGGATGGAATTATTGGCTGGTTCTGTTAGCTGGTTTGTATACTTTTGTTTGTAGTTAATTAGGATTTTTGTCTGGAGTGAATCAGGAGATCTCTTCTAGGTATCGGATGCTTATTCGCTGGAGCGGTGATCACGGCCATCGACATGATTTTTCCTCATCAGTTCTCCACTATACTGGAGGTCGATTACGATACACCATACGACAGGCACGTTATCATAGAGGAGAGTTTCGACACGAGGAACATCAGGCGGAGGTTACCTAAAATTGAGGATTCGTTTGGTGATCGCATAATAAGGTTTCGTCTTAATTCATTCACGCTGTTTGTTGAATGAATTGAGGATGGGATATCGAGTGTCATTAAACGACGAATCTTTTGATCGTTTCAGTCAACTGTCGTCGAAGTTACAGAGCAGACACGACGCTAAAGAAGACACGCAAGGTGTTATTAATCGAGGCTACACGTCGCACGAGTCTTCCGACTTTCAACACGACAGCCACGAGGACTCGTCGAAAAACAACTGGTCTTATCCATTCCCGTCGTCTTCGCGAAGAACTATGAGCGGTTGACTTTTGTTATTTATCAATTGTTAGTAAATTCTTTAACACTTAAATAATTTTTACTGTTATTTTAACCCTAGAACTCCTGCGGGAGAGGAAATGTCTGTTTTATAGATTAACTAGAAATGAAGGATAATAAAAAAATATTTTTATTGTCCGTAAAATGGAGGAGGATCGTCCTAGGAGTCCTAGGGTTGCTACCTCAAAATTAATTTATTAACGCTTTGTATCGAAAATTGGAGGCAAAAATGATTCTCTTCGTGGTCATAAATAAGAAATATAATAATCGTTATAAATAAGGGATGCGCGTACACGCATAAATATGTACACTCGACAGAATTCCATGAGATTCATGATAGAGTCCATCGTTCTTCTTCTCCGTCGATCAGACTAGCCAAAGTTTTCGAAATGATGAATGAAATACGGCAAACGACGACCCTTGTTCACTTCGTCGCAAGATGACATCACGCTCTTCGTTAGTGGGCGTGGTCCGCAGCTAAATACTCCTATTTTACTGACCTGTAAACATCCGTAACCATTTAATCCTGGCTCCGACCGACTCAACAGAAATAATCCAACATTTTGCAAGAACTCACGTAGCTATGTTTCTTCTGAACAAACTTTAAGAAGGAAGTCATGTCGGGTCGACCAAAGTGATTGATGGCTTTCAGCCCAGTGAAAATGCTTTTCTTGGATAGCCTCTGGAAATGATTCTCGCAGATGTACTGTAACAGACACAGTTCCAATTTAGATGGACAATTATAAATAACAATGATGGATAAGTTAAATAAGGACACTCCTGTTACCTAGATGAATGCTACTCATAGATACCTATCAGAGATAAATATACAACTTACCAACATAGTAGTACGTAAGTCAAACTTGTGAAAGAATTGCGTGATAAATATATGAATTTCTAAAACGTCCGTAACATCCTTCCTCTCCACGTCCCTGAGTACGTCGATGAACCACTCGAAATGTTTGTGTGAGGGACAAATCCACAAGAAATAAACCTACAATATAGGAATCTGATAAGACTGCAATTAAATGAACCTAACCATAGGCTTTAGAACAAGTACCTTTTTACAAGCAACCCCTGAATATCTGTTGGTTGAAGTTCCAAAAACGAGGTCGTTGAGCATGGACGCATAAGGAGTGACTCCAATGCCACCGCCGACCATAACGGCAACTTCAAACTTGTACCAGTCTTGATTGCCTCCTCCGAATGGTCCTTCTATTCTAATTTTCGGGTGCTCGTCTTCTGGGTTATAGTTGCAAGGATCAAAGTAATTGCGCAGTTTCCAGGTCCATGGTCCTTGCGCTTTGATGTGACACGACAGGAAGTTCTCGTGTGGTGCCGAGGTTAGGGTGAACGAATGGAACTCGTTGGACCTGAAGGCGGTACACGAGATACGCACCCACTGTCCGGATAGATACTTTAAATTGGGAGGTCTGTAGAATTTGATTTTGATGACGTCTGATGGTAACAGCTCTGTTTCGATGATGTCTAACGCCATGTACTTGGTTCGAAGACTCACCACCTAAAAGTGTGTTAATTATTGGCTTGATGCTATTATTAAGACTAAGCTGTTATTGTCTAAGATCACTAATTTATTGACATTAATATTTAATGTCAAAGTTAGATGTTTACCTTGTCAAGGGAGTAAATGATGGCGGGGCCAACAAAGAATATCCAGAACCTCGGTGAACCCGTTAAACGAGCTAATCCGTGAATCAGACACAACGCATACAACACGACGTACAAACTGTGAGTCGACCAGAAAAATTTGTATGCTTTTTGACGGATAGTAGGGTGAGCGAAGACGAAGATTATCGTCATCACGACGAACAGAAGGATTCCAGTTAAACCTATAAAGAATTAGTCTGATTTCAAACAACTTGAACGAAACCACAAATTATGCAAGATGATTTACACTATCTTAATGACTCGTCATTTAAAAGCTAATCAATCTATAAAAAGTCTAATGCATTCTACAATCACCTGTCACAGTCCTAAAAAGCCAAAATGAGATCGTCAAACGAGCATCGCTGGGAAAGCTGATCTCGCTAGTCAAACATCGAAGATGAGCAAGTGGTTGCGTTGAAATGTGATAAAAATTGACCATGTGACCCACTGTATGTAAAACGGAAAAGAACAGCGCGGTGCACGCGGCAATTTTATGGAACTGTATGTGAGAGTCCAAAGGAATATACTGTTGAATGGAGAATTCTTTGAGTTTGGTTAACAGATTACGAGACATCGTTAAAAGGAGTAGACTGTAGCAAAAAGACAGGGCAGCTGCAGATCCTCTGGTTATGGCAATTCCAACTCCCATTATGTGTCTCAGATCCGTGTGTTCGGCCATAAATGAATAATCTACAATTAGAATAACTCTTAATTACTTGACTCTTGGAATTGAATAAAAAAGAACTGTACGTACAGATAAATCTCTCAACGAAGAGAGCAATAGTGGTGACGTAAAACACGAACAGGTAAAATATATTCTGTCGATTTTCCTCGAGGAATGTGGACACAGCGTCCCACTGCTTGCGTGCCCAACTCTTCGAGTCCTCAGGAGGAAGTGTATCGATATGGAAACCCGTCATGCGAGCCACATTCGTCGACGTGTCGAGGAAATTTTGCTTCGCACCTTTGCAATCGAGACCGATCGCCACGAAATCGCCTTTGTATTCTTTCATCATCAACTTGAAGTCGTTGTAGGTCAAGTAGTCTTTCCTTTCTAGGCCAGCATCCTGAAAGACATCATGCTCAACGTCTGCATTATATCGTGATTATTATTGTAATTACTTGGAACATTCCGTCGATCAACTCCGTGACGTGATCGTCGGACAGACTGGTCGTTCGCGCGATTTCCACTAAAGATCTAAGCATCTCTGATAATTCTTCTTTGTCAATCACTCCGTTGCTGTCCTTGTCACACATGTCGAATATTATTCTGAGTTTATCCTCGGTCTTCCCTCGAGAGAACAGCAGAACGGTGTCTAAGAATTCCTAAATATAAATGTAATATTTATTACTGGGTCCCTTAGGGATGTTCAAAGTGTAGGTATAGAAAGTTGAAGAATAATAAATTAAAGTGGTGATTAGAAGATTTTTGTCATTTTAAAATAGTAGAACCCACACCTGAAACGAAATACGTCCATCCCGATCTTTGTCGACGATGTTGAACATTTTTTTCACGAAAACCGCATCTGCCCGCATGCCGAGTGCACTGGCGAACTCGCTTTTAGAAAGCGAGGTTCTCATCACGGTGACCACTTCACCGCTGTCGCTATCTTCTGATCGTCGTCGCCTTTCACCAGGTCGTAGACCGAACGTCAAAGCATAAGCTTCCCTAAAGAACTGTCGTAACGAAGAAAAAGTAGCGTTACATAGGTAGACAGACAGGAAGACCATTTAACATCCTTAAAAGGCAAGTTAATGGAAATCAACTCGACATAAAGGAGCAAAGGGAAAAGACCTGCTCGAGTTTCTTCTGGCGTCGCTCCTTCGTTTCCGCCTTTGCTAGCATAATGTCTCGCCCCACTTGGGACATTGTGAAATGCTTCTTATGGGATGCCAGAAATGCTTCCAATTTCGCAATAAACTTTCTACGTGAAGCCAGGGAATCCAGTTCAAGGACAAGGTCGTAGTCTCGAGGTATTCGTAACAGTACCAACGCCTTTCGATGCCCATTCTCGTTCTCCTAAAAGACGCAGTTATTAATTCTATAGCCGTAGACTCTTGGTCATGGAGGTCAGAACTCTGCGCATTGAGCTCTGAGGTTAACCGTGCAAATCTTTATAATTAAAAGCAACACTATTATTTTGCTAATCTATAATTGATGTAGTTGTACAAATATGAGGGTCAAATAGAATTCTATTGTACGTATTTAATGATATGCTAAACGGATATCGTTCTGCTTGTTAATCTTGAAAGCCAAAGATAATAACTCGTCCTTACAATTACCGTATTGCATCTGTTCGTATTGCACAAGAGACGTAACGCAAACTAGTCGAAGCTAATTAAAGGATCGCAACCAAAAATAATGAACAAAGGATCAGAAACGTTCGTAGACGACGATCATTTCGAACGGCATAATTTCATCGTATGAAGCAAGTCTATTTTTCGCCGTTCACGAAAGCGTGGAATTACAGGTTTCGACGTTGAACGGGTCCGCTGGATTTGGTTAATTCGAAAAGAACCAGTCGCAGGAATTTTCACGTGTTCGTTTTCCCTTTGTGAGCACGGGGTTGTGCAACGATCGGGTTCCGTTCGTGATTTCTTCGTCAGATTCCCTGGCGAAATTTCACAAAACGTACAAGCATGAAGGATCGTTGCGGCAATCACCTGAGACTCCTCCATGGCAACGGTGTTCACATCGTTGAAATCGAACGTGCGTAGTTTCTCCCCTTTACGATCGACGATGTGCAGAGCGGCTTCCGGGCCGAATTTCACCTTGACCAACCGACGATGGTTCGCGTGCAGCCATTCTCGTACGACCATCTTATCCACGCAGATCTTGCCATCGCTGCGCTTTTGTATCGCCTCTTGAAGGATCTTCAGGCGTCTTCTTCGTCGGTTTTGTAGCTTGACTAATCCGTAGCCGGCACCGGCACACAGGATGGGCACGAAACCCAGAAAGATGCAGGCGTATATGTACACCAGCTCGCTTCCCTGTAAAAACACGACGTTACTTTTACCATTCCAAATGATATTATTAAATAATAATCACCTCGAAATAATCATAACGTTGTAGTGGAATGCATGATTCTAACATGGTAGAATTCAACTGGTACGGTTGAGGGCACGGATCTCCCTCTTCCCAGGTGAACACATTTCTCTGGATAGCATCCGGTGGTATCCCAGTCGCGTTGACTATTACGTCCCACAAGGTAACGCGACGAATCTCCTCGATTTCGCTTTTCGTGAAAATTCTGTGGAACATTAATAGAGTTACCTCTGGATCTTCATCACTCAGCAGTTAAAATGAGCTTCCTTACCCAGTCTCCGTGTTCTCGAACCAAAACCTATCCGAGTCTCTCAAACGAAGGAACTGCTCTTTAATCACCGCCGAGAACAGTTCACCTGGACCAGCACTAGACTCTAACATACCCCCAACATATACGTCCACGTTATTCAAATTATTCGAGTGTATCTCTACTAATGTCCGCAAGAGTGACGGGTTCTTGTTGAACAATTCTGGGTTGATTTCGTTCCACGTTTTTCTGCGAGGTAACTTGAAGTGTGCTCTGGCAGTGTTGTAGTCTGGGAGACCGTTGTCTCTTCCTCGCATGATGTTGAGGGCGCCTAGATCTCTGCGGGAGAATTCCATGGGCCCGTAGAGGTTGTTCCTGATGTCGGTGCCGAGGAGGTTGTCTTCTTTCTCGCATAACTGGGAACTCATACCCATGATTAGCTCCTCGATCGTGCTGTTGGTTAGCACTTCCTGTGAAAGGTTGTTGGAAGGTTATAATTATTGAACATATTGAAGCTAGCTTTAAGTAGGTAAGTACTAAAGTACCCTCAATATTCAGATTGGCTTTCATAATATGAAAAGTATAAAAGATAGATTATCTCATATTGAAAATAGAAATCTTTTAAGTATTCAAATGTTCAAAGACTTAATTGTCAAATATTAAACTACTGAAAAGCTTCTCAACTTTCTCAACTAGTTCTCAACTTTCAAATTTCTACATTTCCAAATACTCAACTTGTCAAACTGTCAATTTGATTGATACACAAATGCAATTACCTATATTTAGTCTAAGACATTGGCATTATTAGCTACGGTCTACAAGCCAAGGTACACTAATGGCTCTATAATCCTCGCCAATTTCAAACATTATAATAAACTTACAAACTAAACAATACATATCTTGATGAACTTGTAAATTTAGTTACAAAACATTCACTTTCGCTCACATTCGAGTCCCACCAGGTGGAACACAGTCGTATCGCTGCTTGATCGGTATTGGTTCTCCTGTATTCACAATTTTCATCGCGACGATATATACCAGGCGGTATCAGAGTGTGTCCGTATCGGAAAGCGGCGCTTTGGAATATGTGACTGATTCCTGGGTGTAGGTCCGACTTGTAGCCAGTGTAAGGAGGAACATCTTCGTTCAGAAGTACAGGAATGTACTCGTACAAAATAATGTTCTGCAAGGAAAGAAAATAAGAAAGTTTAAAGATTGGTGTTATGAACTTTGTATCAATTCTCCTAAATGGCACAAAATTAGTGTGTGTTCAGTTACGTTGACAGTATACAATTACAGGGGAATAATATAGCATTACGTGCTACGACAACAATGAGATGATAGCTTATACATATATTGTGTGAAGGAGAGATACATTTATGTTGGAGTAATAGGAGAAGAGTGGGAAGAGACTGAGAAGATAAATGCTGGAGAAATTTGACAGTATAGAAAGTCTTAAGGATACACAATTTGAAAATCTGAAAATTTTAAAGTTTACATAATATTATATCAATTTTTTTACCTGAAGAGTGCCTATAACCAATCGTCGAGCTTTCTGAAAGATGTCTTCGTCAGACATGTTTGGATTTTCTTGTTGTATATGAGCTGCAAGAACGTTGTGCCATCGGTAAAACAATATTCCCAATGCGAGTAACGGTGGGTGTTGATTTGTTCGTGGATCTCCAAGAACTGAAAAAATAAATTAAAATTTATAGTAAATGTATAGTAATTTTTTATTAACCAAATCATCGAATATGAACTTACGGTAAAGACGTTCAGGGCTGAGCATTCTCATCACGTGCGGCACAGCATGATTAAAAAGTGGAGCACGCATGGTGTTTCTCACAGGAAATTTCCTCGTGGGTTCCATGAGGAGGCTGCCATTCTTGAAGGATCTCATAGTGTTCGCCCATGCTTCGCTGCTCGAATAAATGAAGCTACCGTCGATCCAGCTCGTCACTTTGTTTATCTGCAACCTCACGTATTCAGAGCTACTTTTCACGACTTATTTCCCAGATTTAAAGAAAATCGTCTAATTAACCGTTCGAAATTAGGAGAGAGATCGCGTAACGCGACACAACAGTTCTGTTTACAATTGGGATTCAGATAGGAGTCCTTAGTCGGACAGAAATTTCTCATGGGAGCATTCGATGCACCTTATTTAGCAACGCAATTATGATATACGTTGAAAGAAAAAACGTAAGACGCCTTATAGGCGGCTTAATGACTCCTACTTTCCCCGTCATTAACAATAACGCTTACGCCTGTTCCATGTACGAGAAGATTGCGCAGATTCCTCTTTTTCTTTTCTTTTTTATTAATCGCGTCGAATAATAAACGTGGATACTTTCAATCTTGAATACTCGACAGATATCTTTGTTGAGGACAGATTAATCTAACAATACATTATTTAAAAAGATTACAGAATGGTTTTGAATGGCGTCTACGACGTAATACAATTTTCAGAAAAATCAATTTTAATAACGTTTCGAAACATTAATGACTCAGCGTCACGGTTTGCTATGCTTTTCAGGATCTCTCTATATATCGGATTTCAATGTCTGCAACCTCAATGACGAACGATTAAAACCGGACACGAAAATTCAATGACGAATCTCAATGCTAGTCATTGAACGTCATCGACCACACCCCGAGGTGAAGGGGTAGCTTCAGGGTCTTATATTTGATACTTTTGTACTAGTTACAACATGTAAACAATTATTTCTTCAACATTAATCTTTCAGCTCATATCATTTATACACTTCTTTACTGTGTTATGCTCTCTATAGTACAAACAATGCAAGACGCACCAGGTGCGTCTTAAATTACACAGAACAAATTATACAGGACAGTTTATAATCGATTCTAGTGAATGATATAAGTCATACACGATGCATCAATGCATAGATAATGTAAGAGGCATAAGAAGCATTGTGACAGAGTACAGGACGCATCAGGTGCGTCATTACAGAGTACAACGTTAGAGAGTACATAACGCATAAGATGTGTTATTACAAAGTATAGGACGCATAAGGTGTGTCATTACAGAGTTTAGAACGCGTAAGATGCGTTGTTAGAGTCCGCAGGATGCGCAAGGTGCGCCGTTACAGAGTATAGGACGCATGTGTGTCGTAATATACTATAAGACGCATAAGGTGCGTCAGACGGATTGCAATTCACATAAGATGTTTAACTACAAAGTATTGGACGCATTAGATGCGTTGTTAGAAAGTATAGTACGTACAAAATACGTCGTTACTGAATGTCGAATACATAGGGTGCGTTGTTACATAGTGACGCATATGGTGCGTCACCTATTATACGTACAAGACACATAAGGTGCGTCATTAATTACACTATACAAGACACATAAGGTGCGTCATTTCTTACATAAATCTGTACAAGACGCACATGATGCATTGCCAATTATACCATACAAGACACAGCCGTTACATAGTGACGCATATGGTGCGTCACCAATTATACTATACAAGACGCATAAGTTGCGTCATTGCTTATACATGTAAATTCGTACAAGACGCACATGATGCGTCATCAGCACATCATGTTAATACAAAAGTATTAAGAAAAATTGAGAAAGAAATTATACTATACAAGACGCATAAGTTGCGTCATTGCTTATACATGTAAATTCGTACAAGACGCACATGATGCGTCATCAGCACATCATGTTAATACAAAAGTATTAAGAAAAATTGAGAAAGAAATTATACTATACAAGACGCATAAGTTGCGTCATTGCTTATACATGTAAATTCGTACAAGACGCACATGATGCGTCATCAGTACATCATGTTAATACAAAAGTATCAAGAAAAACTGAGAAAGAAATTATACTATACAAGACGCATAAGTTGCGTCATTGCTTATACATGTAAATTCGTACAAGACGCACATGATGCGTCATCAGCACATCATGTTAATACAAAAGTATTAAGAAAAATTGAGAAAGAAATTATACTATACAAGACGCATAAGTTGCGTCATTGCTTATACATGTAAATTCGTACAAGACGCACATGATGCGTCATCAGCACATCATGTTAATACAAAAGTATTAAGAAAAATTGAGAAAGAAATTATACTATACAAGACGCATAAGTTGCGTCATTGCTTATACATGTAAATTCGTACAAGACGCACATGATGCGTCATCAGTACATCATGTTAATACAAAAGTATTAAGAAAAATTGAGAAAGAAATTATACTATACAAGACGCATAAGTTGCGTCATTGCTTATACATGTAAATTCGTACAAGACGCACATGATGCGTCATCAGTACATCATGTTAATACAAAAGTATCAAGAAAAACTGAGAAAGAAATTATACTATACAAGACGCATAAGGTGCGTCATTGCTTACATAAATCCGTACAAGACGCACATGATGTGTCATCACAATTATCATGTTAATACAAATGTGTTAAAAAAAATTGAGAAGAAAAACAAGGAATTACCTGTTCCCGAGGGCTGTTAGGGCTCCGTCCAGTTTGCCGATCGTAATCCGCCCGACGGAAGGGAATGTACTTGTTACCTTGGCACTCCTTGTCGAAAACCGGATCGCACTTATCCACATCGATCCGATGATACTCTATCGGGCAGCCGCTTTCGCTGGCCATGATTATTTCTGACGTGACCAGTTGCCCTGAAAATGTTTCCGTCTACGCTGGTGAAGACGGTTCCTTCAAGGAAGCGTGCATACGCGACCATGCAACCAACGACCGGTTCTCGAATCACTTTTCCCTGAATCCGTTTCCCGTTGGGTGGAACGACAATCGGACACGTATGGAATTTAGGGAACCGTCCCAGTTTTTACTTTCTTCTTTCAGAATCTGACACGCTTTCCTCGCCGTGCGCTCATTCCATCGTCAAATTTCGTCGGCTCGTGTTTCACGAAACAGGAACGAAAGCGGATCATTCGAAAGTGTTCACGCTATTTCGAATTATCGGAGCATCGTTTGACTTTATTTTTTATTACAGGGTTCTTTGATTGTTTGACCTTACAAAGGTACTGGAGGATTTTATTAAATTTTGAGACAGTGTCACGGTGATCAAAGAATAAACTTTGCATCAAGAATTTAGGAATTGTCAATGTTACAAATTTTTGAATTTTGTTAAATTGTGAAGTTAATTCTTAAATTAAGGTTACTCTGTTTCTTTACATCGGTATAATTCTTCATCGGTGTTATTCTGTATTTTACAATTTCATAACACCTTTTTCATTGCCAATAACAGCGATTACAAAAAAAATAAGAGCATCATAATACACGCTTTCTCGGCAAGAAAAAGTTAATGGAGGTGAGTAGTCGGATTCCCAATTATTCGGAACAGCGTGAACTAAATAAGGTGTGTATCTGTGTGGAACATTTTACGACGAAAAGTGGATCAAAAGGTTCTCGCAGTACTCGTTTCTATTCCGATACCCAGACACCTTGTCGTTTACGCAACAAACGTAATATAGATATTCGAATGTACCGTCACGGTAATTTCTTCGCTTCGTAATCCACCGTTCTATCCTGCGATTATCAGATTGATCGTCGATAGATGTAAATGAAGATTTCGCGATAAATCAAACACGCGTACGCAACGAACATCAGAAATCAATTTTCTCCAAAAGAAATCATCGCTGTATTCTAATTTTCATAATCGTCGCTGTTATTATCTTACATTCCCTTTTTATTACTAAAATTGCCGCACCTTGGGAAATCGAGATGGTAATATGCGAAATTGATCCTCGTGAATTGCGCGAGAGAAATTACATGACGCATCGCAGTTTTTCAGTTCCTTTGTTAAAGCACTAATTAGACCAACATTTTGGATCTCTTTCGGATTTGAATCATCGTACACGCAAGACTATTAAGAAAACAAATGTGAATAATGCCTTATAAATTTAACTCTGCATGACAAAACAATGTTTTGCACCTGTCATATATTATTGTATTTACAAGAGAATAAAAAAGGAAGATATCATAAATCATTGTAAAATGTTACTTTTAATTTTATGCAGTACTGATACTACTTAGACTCTATCCTCTATTTTTGTATTAATTATTTCAATGTATAAAGTTGTAACTATTGGACATTAAAAACACTAATATCTGTGACCTAACCTAACCATAATTTTATCTAATTACAGTTCACAAATATTGGTAAAGTTGTATAATATTTTGCTTCACAATGATTCACATTTACCTAACTGACCTAACAATAACTTTATCAAATTACAGTTCACAAATATTTGTAAAGTTATAAATAATATTGTAAATAATATTTTGCTTCAGTTATAAATGATTCACAATTTACCTAACTGATCTAACAATAATTTCATCAAATTACAGTTCACAAATATTTGTAAAGTTATAAATAATATTGTAAATAATATTTTGCTTCAGTTATAAATGATTCACATTTACCTAACTGACCTAACAATAACTTTATCAAATTACAGTTCACAAATATTTGTAAAGTTATAAATAATATTGTAAATAATATTTTGCTTCAGTTATAAATGATTCACATTTACCTAACTGACCTAACAATAACTTTATCAAATTACAGTTCACAAATATTTGTAAAGTTATAAATAATATTGTAAATAATATTTTGCTTCAGTTATAAATGATTCACATTTACCTAACTGACCTAACAATAACTTTATCAAATTACAGTTCACAAATATTTGTAAAGTTATAAATAATATTGTAAATAATATTTTGCTTCAGTTATAAATGATTCACATTTACCTAACTGACCTAACAATAACTTTATCAAATTACAGTTCACAAATATTTGTAAAGTTATAAATAATATTGTAAATAATATTTTGCTTCAGTTATAAATGATTCACATTTACCTAACTGACCTAACAATAACTTTATCAAATTACAGTTCACAAATATTTGTAAAGTTATAAATAATATTGTAAATAATATTTTGCTTCAGTTATAAATGATTCACATTTACCTAACTGACCTAACAATAACTTTATCAAATTACAGTTCACAAATATTTGTAAAGTTATGATATTGTAAATAATATTTTGCTTCAGTTATAAATGATTCACATTTGCTTTCCATCATGCAATTTTTCCTTGTATAAATCAATTGTGTATCCGTGTTTGTTCCTCTTAGCGAGATAAACGACGAGCAATTTGACATCGAACGAGTCCATCGACAGCGCCAAATTGGATCTCCTCCAAATTTCAATTTTATTTTCGCCTCGTGATCCGTGAACCGTGTACTTGAACCGGTCGCTCGTGCAAAAAGTTGAATGAATATTAACGCTTTAATGGATCGTGTCCCGTTCTTCATAACAAACGAAGCGGAAAGATTGACAACAATTACAAATCGTCGAAACAAAGTTTTGAACACGATAAGCTACAGTTAGATGTGTTTCTCAGAGTAATTAACGAATCTCTAACGCACAAAACCTGAAACAGGAATTAATTAAGGATCAACGAATTCTGGATAAAATCGATTCACGTAACACGAATAATTATGTTGACGAGAACGTTCAGAGTGCACGTTAATTACCGTGAGCGGTGTTTTCAGAATATTAATCATGATTCTCACCGAAAAAAGCGAACAACGCTGTTCTGTTCTTCACCGAAGGAATACCGTCATCACCTTGCATGAACAATTGACTTAATTTCCTTGGTGAAGGTCTGTCTTGTCCCGCCAGCATGTACACCCCATCGGAATAGGCTGCTGGCATCTTTCGTATCAGCCTGCTGTCTATGGAGGTACAAAATGCATTACCAATGATTGAAAGTAGAAAAATTAAGTGTGGTGCAATTTAGGCTTACTTTAATTCAAAGAAAAATTAGGGAAAGCTATGTACCATCACTCTACTTATTTACATTATATTACTATGTTAATAGAAGGTTTTATAATACATTTTCTTAGGTTCTTTCTGGGTTCTCACTAGGAGCTTTTATAATCTTTCTAGGGTCTTAGGTTTTCATTAAAACTTTCCATGGTCCTACATTCTCTCTTAAACTCTCTCTGAAGATTCTCTTTTACATCTCACATTTTTCTTAGGTTCTCTCTACATTCTTTCTAGGTCATCCTTAGATTACTCTCTTTGAGTTCTTTCTAGAGAAATTAATTTCTCCTAATTTCTACCTCTTTAAACTAAAAAAGCCTACATTGCACCTGAGTCACACAAATTAGTCTATTTGTTAAAACAAGAAGTACAAAAGTAATTCTAGAACAGTAATATGGTGTCATTCAGTTTGAACTTAAACTAAACTTTAAATTATGCTAAGCAAATATATTTTATACTGTAGATCACTTGAATCTTTATAAACAACTTTATCTAAACCCAAGTAATTATCAAAATTGTAATAATTACAATTATAAACATTATATATCATTAACATCATAAACGACACTCCATTACTGTTTGTACATACTAAAATATAAAACAATTTGAAGATGAATATTCTTACAAAATTACAGTTTGTTTACTTATATTCTATATGAAACATATCAACGAACATTAGAGTGAACTCCAACTTAAACAATCTTTATGCTTGTATTTTCTGTTACAGTAAAACAGTAAAGTTTGAAAATTTCCTTTCTTCTAACAGTAGCCGTTCGTGGTTTCAAACTGTTTGCAGACCTTGTTCACAGACGTCTAATTACCCTATTCTTATTGTTCAAACGGCGAGCACAATCTGGTGGAAATGTTTGTGCAAGAGATTAGTACCTGGTTAAAAGGGTTGATAGTAACTTTGTCCCTTTACAACATCTCTATTGTTCTATTGTAGAATATGAAATAAGATATTCAAATGAGTTATTTACATTTCACTAAAAACTTGATATATGGCTTGAATAAAAACTTGATACAATATGCTAATAGATATGTTTTCTGAACTATCATAAATCATACAATTATTGAAAATATTCATTTTGCAGTGATTAACAACACTAATGACATTAAAGTAATACTAAAAAAACCTCATCAATAACTTCAAAGTCTCAGAAACAATTTCAACAATGTATTAATAGATGTACATTTCTTTGAACATTTCTTTCTGATACAATTCAAAGAATGTATTACATTTCCTGATCTATGAACATTACAGTTAAAAGAAAAGTAGTATTACATCAGAAAAAAGTTTCAAGCAACTCAGATAGAAAGTTATTACAAAAATGTACAAGATATTTTCAAAAGAAAGAGAACAGACTTCAGTGTGTACATCTAATAACAATTAAAAATAAAGCATGACCAAGTTGTAATTAAGATTGCGGTATACGATTACAAGTACGTATTAGCAGAATCGGGAGAGACCGCAATTTTCAAGTTTAAATAACCATAACATTTCTGTCCTCACAACTGATTATGTCTTTCACGCGACCAGCCTTTTTGCCGCTCCTTTTATTGCGGCTGTATTGAAACAAAATAGCGACTTTTTTTCGCCTTTCACTCTTCACCAGATTGGTTTGCACGTTATTGCAATTCGAGCTACATCACAATGCCAAGAGGACTCGCAACAATTTGTGGCAACCGATAGCCGTTTCGTTCATATCATTGCTTTCGAAATCTTCATTGCAAACAAAATGTAACTTCATTTCACCATACTGGACCTAAATATCAATCAAGTATTCCAACGATTAGATTGCTTTTCATAGTTATACATTCTGTTTATTGAAAACTGATAACTTACTCTAAATCGCTATTAGAATCTAATTTTTTAGACTTATTAGCAGTTCTGAAGTAATTCTATCTGAGTGAAAATTGATACAAAGCTGATAGCTTCAGATATGTGAATAAAGTTTCAATCGTTCACTTATGCTCGTCGACAGGGAGTTTATGAGACAAGGTATGCATAATAATCTCACAGTGCCGTCGTTAGAATTCTAGAAGCCCTAAGAGCTTAATTAAGTAGTTATGATAGTCGTGATATCAAATGTGTTGAAAGGACAATATCCGGTGATATAACGCAGAGTAATACAGAGTTGAGATTCGAACACGTGGTAGCTCAATGTGTAGACGCTCTGCGTGAAGTACAATGAGTTGCAATTTCAATGTGTAAAGTACAAGTAGCAATTTCTGATCTACTGACGAGTGGCAATTTGATGACCTAACACGTGACAATACGTAGAGACTGTATACGTGGTAATATAATGTGTAGACATTATAATAGGGAGCAAAGCAACGCGAGATGCAACTTGTAGAAATATGTAGCAACATGTAGCAGTACAAATAGCAATATGTGTCAACATGTAGCAGTACAAGTAGCAATATGTATCAACAAGTAGCAGTACAAGTAGTAGTATGTATCAACATGTAGCAGTACAAGTAGTAGTATGTATCAACATGTAGCAGTACAAGTAACAGTATGTATCAACATGTAGCAGTACAAGTAGCAATATGTAATGATCTAACGTGTGAAGATACAATACGCAATATAACAAATTTGCTATAAATATTTTTAATAGTATCAACGCTCAAGGCACCAGAAACTCTAACGACGATTCTGCGATTTAGAATAACTTGCCGATTGATCCCCAATCCGGATGAGCGAGGTTGTTGTACCATCCGTCGTATCTCTGTTTGTCGGCATGACTGTGCAGTACTCCTAAAACAAACAATAACAAAATGACTAAGGTTTTGTACCTCATAAACAAAAAACGCTATTATACATATAAATTGATAATGTTCTTACGCGCTCCTTTTTTACCGGAGCTATTAACTTTTTATACAATGATACTTATTTAAATTTGAAAGTGAAAACGTGAGTAGAAGATTCAAGGATAGCTCTCGTTCCTAGCCATTGATTAATTGAGTGTATCGACACAATGAGTTTTTGTACAATGCATTTACACTCGCTGATCTATTAGCACTTTCATAGAACAGACAGGATGATCTAGGCTAGAGAAAAAGTCGAGGTTGAACTCTGCATCCATCAATCATCGTGAATAATCGTGGAGCGATTGCAGTTCGCAGTTTTACTGGATCGTTAAACAATAATCATTATTCGGAAATTCTGCCAGGCGCATAAATAAGTTGGCTGGCAGAGATTCCGGCTGAGATATCCCAAACAGATCCGGCTATCGGTTCGGGATTTATGGCTGACGAGATCTTGCACTGGTTGCAAAGATATTATACATTAGATGTTTAAGAATCTAGTATTTGAAGACTGCTTAATAGGGTTAAAGTTATTTAGAATAACGATGTGATCTTAATGCGTGGAAATATAATGTGTAGCGATTTTAATGCGTGGCGATTTAACGCGTGGCAATTTTAACGCGTGGTAATTTAACGCGTGGTAATTTAACGCGTGGCGATTTAACGCGTGGTAATTTAACGCGTGGTAATTTAACGCGTGGTAATTTAACGCGTGGCGATTTAACGCGTGGCGATTTAACGCGTGATAATTTAACGCGTGGTAATTTAACGCGTGGCGATTTAACGCGTGGTAATTTAACGCGTGGCGATTTAACGCGTAACAATACAATACATTGCAATATAACACGTAAAAATCTAAACCTGACCCTTTCAGACAAAAACCTCAATTATAACAATTACCTACTTTATCAAAGTTACAAATATATAAGCAGTCAGAGTTAACACTCTCTGAAGCTTCTAATAAAAAGTAATACAAACATCCTTATCTAACACAGTTCATCGGTAAACTTATTTAGGTATAATATCCGTCGAGCCACAACCGTTATACGGCAGGTAACTCAGCATAGCAAGCAACCTGACATCAATATTCAATTAAAAGAAAGAACGTCTTCCAGAGGACTGATAATATTCAAACAAAGCTTCATAAAAGAAGAAAAAAGATTTCCATGACAAATGAAAAATATTTTGAGGAAATCATTCGTATTTTCACTTTTAATACACTTTCCTTGTTCATTTCAATGACAACATTGAGCTTGCAAATTTTGTAAAAAAACCACTGAGTCAATAATTGATGTCAGATTTTGTAGATATAACATGCGATAGAATATGTAACAATTTAATGCATTTCGAAAGAAGTATTTAATGTATAGTGATAAGACGAGTAATTTTAACGAGCAATTAGCGCGTTGTAAAATAATGAGTAGAAATTTTTACGCGTAATAATACGATGCGTAGTGATTATAGTACATCGCAATTTCAATGAATGGCAACTTAACGCGTGTATTACAGTAGCGAGTTTAATGCGTGGCAATAGTGGGGTAATTCAACGCACAGAGATTACAACACGTAGAAATTGCAACGTGTAATAATACAACGTATATGTTACAATGCACAGAAATTTCAACACGTAAAGATGTCGACTGGTGATTTAATGCGTGGCAATATAAGAGACATCAATGCACGATGATACGGGTAGCGATACAACGCGTTGCAGTCTCAACGCCAGGCGATTTTACGCGTGGTAATATAACACAGCGATACTGCATGTAGCAATACAACGCGTAGGAGTCTCAGCGCAAGGCGATCTAACGCGTGGTAATACAATACGTAGAGATTTCAATGCATGGTAATAGAACGTATCGTAATTTCAATGCACGGTAATAAAAGACGTAACGATTTTAACGCACTGTTGTACAACGCATAGTTATTATAACGAGTGGTAATATATCGTGCAAAAATTTCCACTCATGGCAATACAACGCATGGTGATCTACCGCATGTCTTCACTTTCATTATTTCGAACGGTTAAGAGAATCGCGCGCTGGCAATAGCGTACCGGTTCCAGCAGGCAGGACGATCCAAATCAGCCAGATCAGCGAGTAGAGTAGCGGCGAGTATCCCCTCGGTGGTCGTCGTCTGATCATCGTCACCACAGAACCAACTCACACCCTAGCATTTCTTCTCCACAAATCTATCGTTCTCGAACGCTGTTTGGTTTCAGCAGGCGGATCACTCGCGGATGTCAAACGTCCGGTTCAATGGCAAGAGCGCATATTGCCTCGTCGAGAGGTCTTTTCGGAAGGCACACCGGATGACAAAGAAGAAAATTCGCCACGATGACAACGGACAGCGAGGATCGACGCGTTGGCGAAGGAAGGAACGTACGACACTCGGTTACCGGCCAAACGACAGAGACAACACGTGCGACACGGCCGAAAGAAAAAGAATCGAGGCCCGTTCGCTGCTCAGGGTATGCCTCGTGTCTGCCTGTCCGATCCAGGATTCCCCCCACTGCCTCGAACCACGGGAACGGTGAACGAGGGTATACCTGGTACTCGAGTGGTTTGGGCCAAGAGCGCTCGGTTGTTGGCTGTGTCGTGTATAGCCGTTCTTGGCTACGCGGTGAAAGTCGCCGGCCTATTTGTTTCGTTACCGCGAACGCACCTCGCTCTGTCTCTCTTTCTCTCTCTCGCGGCTGTTCTGCCTTTGCCGCTCTCCTCCTCCTCATCCTCCCTCTTCGTCGTTCGTTCATATTCGCGCACATCGCGACGTAGCGGCGACGTCACCGCAGGCGCAGGCCTAGTTTTCGAGTCCGCGGCACCGATTACCCAAGGCGAAACCTCTCTCGGTTCTCCGACCTGGAGTTTCAAGGTCGTTGCCTGCCGAACCGAGTCCCGACGACGACTTCTCCATCGGGACCTTACACGCAGACCCCTTTGAGATGTCCCTGCTGCAGCCTGAAACTGTGAGAAGCGGATGAGAGGAGGTAACCTTGACACGAGGAACTACTGCGTTACAGAGAGGTGTTTCTGAAGTATATTGCTTGGAATGTTTGATGGTGGATACCGTGTTTGATCCTTCAGGGGAAAGGAAGGCCAAAGATGGTTGGTAGATTTTAGGGGATGTCTTGGTAAATTGGAAATTGCTTCCTTCTTAATAAATTATCTGGATGCATCTTGCCTATAACAGTTTGATAAAATGCGATATTAGTCGACTATCGGTATTTATGCATTCATGATATATCGAGGTCTGCGAAATGTAAATAAGCCATGTAATGTATGGAATCCACACCCTGGATTAAATACTTTACAAACTGTAATATGTCAGAAATGCATAAACATCTATCTATTATAAATATCAGCAACATTTTTTATACTTGTTCAATATATGCCTTTGTATCAACTTCACCCATCTTTGGGTGACCTGTGCTCGACGTCAGCTTCATTTTGGTAACCTTGCGGATACCGGTAGAGCCTACGTGACTAAGAGGCCGTTGACAGCAGTACTGGATATTAGTATACGTCAGAGTTACATTGGTGGAAAATATATAAACCTAATTAGCTACAATGTATAACACATCATTACTGAATCTGCAGTTAACACTCAGAATATTCAGTTTTTGAAATAAAACTTTTGATCATAACATATGCTATGTTTAATTACATTAATAAATTACTCTCAAAATAAATTAATCATGAAATAAGAAGAGAATGCATTGAATATACAACGAAACAAAATTTTAATGTTTTTATAATTTGCCAATGTAACCACTTTAAAGTTACCTCGTTAATTAAAGAACAGTCACGATCTATAAAGTACACGGTTTTCAGCAAACTTCTTTTTTGTATCATGGGAATATTCAGGCAAACTTTCATCCGCCTCGTAGCACGCATGGTAAATTAGACAACAGCGTCTTACAAGCAAGTTAACGCGTTGATATATAACGACTTGTAATACCTTTCGCAATGTTAATCTCGTATTAAAATGTTACGCGTTTCGTAAGGCAGCTAGGAAATTTCAAAAATTTCGGCTATCCCTAATCAGGTAACACAATTAGACGTTCTCCAGGTGGATGTGAGTCAACCGGCAGAGAGATCGCGACTACCGGGCGATTTTTATCGCCCTTGGCACGAATCAGTAATGGCGATTGCATTTCGAGAAGGAGATCACACTCTCATGTTCCTTATTAAGAGTATATGTCACGCAAAGCGTCGTTTTCTGCTTGGCCGCTTCACTTTTTCTATGATGAATCAGCGATCATCCGCCTATATTCATTATCTACGAAAAAGTGGTTAAAATTAGTAAGTTATTCCACAGGATAGAAGAGAAAAGAAACGGAAAGAGTAAAAGAAAATTCTAGCACCTGTATTTCAATGTAAGTCATTCGCTATCGTGTTCGAATATCGTGGTCCATATTTACATACAGAAAATTGAGTATGCACCTAGGGCACAATACCAGAAGGTACAACGACGTCAAATCACATTATCCATCGCTTACTCCATGTACTCAATAGGAACAATTGTATGGATCATCGACGTGATTGTTCAGATCGTTCCACATAAGGGTCGTTTTCTTTAAGTGTATCGTTTTACTATGTTCACTCATGCTTTCATTCGATTCGTTTTTAGTTTGTACATCTTTGGGTGCATCATAGTCTTCCTTTGATTAAAGATAAATGAAGAGAATGGAGTTTTCCGACACCTAGGAGGACGAGGATATTAGGAATATTCAAAGGAAATTGTAGAAAGAACCTGAGACGATTTTAAGAAAAACCTGCAAAGGTCTTTGGGTCGCTACGAGTATCTAGAGCATCCTAGAAAGAGTCTATACAGACTCCGAGGATCCTAACATAAGTACCTAAGAAAATTCTAAAAGACCCTAATCTACTCCTACGCATTCTCTTCAAAGGAAGCCTATATTGTACCAAGGCGTACTCGATACCATCGTATTTACGGAAAAAGTCGAGGAAAATTCGCGATTCGTGATCTTCTGCAACTACCACGTACTCTCTATGCAAATATCTGCTCCGTCCCAATCATTCGTCGCTCGGATACACGCACACACGTCCGCGTTTCAATGTCCACTTTTAACCGTGAACCTGCGATCTCCGCTCGTCGTTCGAACCAGCTCTCACACTCTGGGTCCTCGCGCTGTAATTCAGCCAAACGACGTGCCAGTTTCGAGTGTCCCGATTTCTTAACCCAATGCCTTACTAACAAGACAATTTCTAACTTGACACGGCAGATGCGCAGCTTCCAGCATTGACTCGATTAGTTACGAATTCCCAGGAGAACATCAATGTCATTCCTCGCGAAGTAGCGCAATAACGATCGTCGTAAATCTCCGTTTTTTATAATTCACGCGAGACACGATTATTCTTCGTTGCAACGGCGAGATTAGATCCAGCTGACTCATCGCGAAAAGCATCTTCCCGGATTATAATTCGAAGACACGTTTATTACACGCGTAACGTGAACGTTCAATCGTATCAATGAAGTGAAACGGATGTTCTAATATTAACTTATGAACAGAAAGACAAATGTGTACTAAATACTCTACTCAAAGTGATTAGAGGATTGTCCGTCGTAAAAACTAAGCTTTCAAGGTAAATTCTGTGGTATTAAATGTTAAAGTGATTTAGTATTTCTTGTAGAACTTTCAATAGCTCCTTCTTTCCAGTCGGAATACTCAATCCTCTAATTAGTTTAAGCGGCTACGGTGTTTTTAGAACAAAACGTTGCACAGGTACATTCCACGCGAAGGATATATCAGTATAAATTAACGTTTGCACGACAGTCAGGCGCATAAAACCAACGCACGAGCGACGTTGCTCCGGGCGATTGCCTTTGGCGACTCCTTTACACCCGTAGTCGTCACCGACAGTGGTCGTTTCATTTTTAATTCGCATGACACACACATTCTATGCGTATTCAAGTGCAAACCATTCCATTAACGTGCTTACACCCACTTAACGCACACGCACGGGACCGACGAGTGGACGGAGGATTCGAAAAGGTGGAAGATCATTTAGAGGTAGATCCAGGGTAGTAATAAACCACCGCTGGTGCTGGAAGCTGCCAGTGCGCGGCGTGGAGTTCGATCAGTTGCAGAAGGGTCTTTCTGACCGATGGTAAGATCGTTTCTTCAGCAAGGAAGGCGTCCCTCAAACTTCCCAGCAGTTGCTGCAACTGAGCTGGCAATTCGGTATCCAGATCTTTGCCGATGCATGTCAGGATGAAAAACAGGCAATCCGTCTTTAACACAGAAACAGATGCATCGTTAACATAGAAACTTTAATATAGAAACAGATGTCGAGATACCATTAATTTTATTCAAAGAGCTCTGTATTCACTTTGTTAATGAATGATATGTCCTCAAAGAGGTGCAGTAAAGCACTACCTGATCTCGTACAAGAAGATAAAAGCAGGAAAGGTTAATGTAAACGGAACTACTGTTGTATCTCAACTTCATAAACATGATTCACCAAACCTACCTCTGCCAAGGAATTTACAACCGGAGGCTGCAAACAATCTTGACAACACTTCCAAAGTAACGTGAGAAGTACGCGTCCAGGTGGAACACCCTCCTGTTGTGTCTTCAATTGGAGCTGCCTTCGCTTCAACTGTAACAATCATCATGAATATGGATGAGAACGACTGCCCACGTCAATCGCTTTGACTCATATAAGCACGAAAAAATAGACTGGTTTGCAGTTAAGGTAGTAGAAGGTTATAGAACCTAACAATCGATTACGTGATTAATCTATAGCGGCCGATATATATATGACTCAAATATCTACAAAAAGTACATCCGTATAGCGGATCTTGCCTACCTGACAATACATCTCGTTTAAAAACGTCATGAAGGCAGAATAACGATGATAACTAGATCCATCATAGAGCACTTTGGCGCGATCCTGATACCATTGTTGACACGTGTTCAACAAGGACTCCAGGAAGGTCTCCTTACTTTCTTTCTGCGCATGAGAAAGGTAATCATTAATTATAAAAGTACACCCTAATGACCTTAAAATATGTCATCAAAATTATGATGGAATGAACAGTAACCTCTATGATCGTAATGCAAATTTTTGCCGCAGGTTCTGCATATTTGCGATTCTCAACGACCCTTTCCAAGATGTGTCGCACCAGCTCCATTAAACTACGTGCATTCAACACATTTGGATCTGTAAATCAATAATCAATGAACATTCGATCCAAAGCGTAGCATCAATCGTTTCTATTCATTGTACCTTCGATAGCTTTTAAAAGCGTGTCTTGAATAGCGGCGGGGAATTTTCCTAATTCAGAAGCATCTGAAATATTCACCGCCTTTGCAGCTAACACGTCGGCTGCATTCAAGCTTTTCGATCGTTTCAGACCATAAGTAGAGACGAATGATAACGATTTCGTGAGCCTGCCGGGTTTCGCTGGGTTCGATTTGACTTCGTTCTGATCCATATTGAAGTGGACCCTGCCCGAGCCCTATTAAAAAAAAAAACATTAAGCGTTTACCGTACATTCAGCCTATTCATAATAATACACATATTCCATTTTGCAAGGCGCTGTTCCAGCGAACAACTTAGCTAATTATGGAAACCTCAAGGTATTGACAACATACATTAATCATCCGAGGTCTCCATTCATTCACAGTTCAACAATCTGATAGTTTCAAGTAGGCAATTGTCATAACTCTGCATAAATGGATTGATCATTCTTGCAAATTATAACCTACATGTAGAATATTCCCGCTGGATGCCGAAGTATCAAGCGGATGAGACTGTCGCAGCGCTGAACTCGCTGAATGATGACCGCTTGGGAGATGACGAGTCGTTTGATGATGTTGCTGTTGAAGAGCATGTTGTATCTGTTGTTGTTGCTGAGCGTAAAGGTATCGATGCACGTTGCCACTCGATTTACTGTGCTGCAGATAATACGGAGATCGCTCTGAAGCATTCGTCCGAGACCTGAATCAACATCATTAAATTCTAATTACTTGCATACATGGTAAAGCGTAAAATTAACTTTGTCTGTTTAGATATACAGAAACTAATAGGTCCTATAATTTTTGGAAACTAAAAATTAATTTTTTTGGGGGGCAAAAATCCACCATAGTTACGCCAATGATACTAGCTCTGCGAGAATTATAACATTTCATCAAAATGACATTGCAACACGCTGACATAAACCTACGCTCCATCTTTCACTTCGAACATTGATCTGAATACTAATCTACAACATCAAAATTACGCAAGCATCAAAAATGAATCTGATTTCGAAATTTCTTAATGAGATAAATGGTTCTGTTTACAAATGATGTTATTAAATCTTTCAATTATAACTAATATACAATTATTTTTAATAGTATAATCGACTTGAAATATATTTTTCAATCAGTCATTTAATTTATAATAACTAGTTGGCAGAATGTAAATTGTTCCCTTTTTTTGTTCTCGTTTTATTCAGGAATATGATAATCTAAGGATATAGGGATTTAGATATTTAAAAATAGATACAACTGTATACACTAAATCCGTCAATATTACTATACTATCTCCTGGAAGTAAAAGAAGACATGATGTCAGTGTTTCAAACCGTAGAAGTTTCTTTTGAAATAATCTCGTTTACAAGAATTTCATATTGGCTTTCTAGACATTCTTTCGTAGGTCGACCGAGTCCTAACTATTTCGTAAGTAGTTTATGCTCACTTAGAAGGATGCGAATCGTTCTGCTTCATAGTGAACTCCTTGGCATGTACGTTCAAACGTGGATTAGTCGAGTTTGCCGTGGTTCCTTCCGTTCTTCCACCTATAAATCATCGAACATCGGATTTTATTATACTGTACACAAACTGCAGAAGGAAAGACGAGATACGTAATATACGAACCTGGAGGTCGATAAATCTCCAAAGATGGTTTACTTTTCAAAGTGGTTACGTTATTGTTGTTATTATTAGTAGTAGTATTGTTACCGTTGTTATTTGCTTTCTGCGGAACCGCATCCCTCATCTGGAAAACATAAAATTTCTTCTCTCAAAATCCATTTTTATTTACGATTTTGTTACAGAATTGTAGTGTCCTTAGATTCCTACATCTCTACACCTCGATTCTACACGAATGCTCTTAGTATTTTAGACACATGGATAAAACCATCACGAGTCACCGCATCAATTACCTACCCGGTCGAAAACTAAATTTAAGGCGATTGAACTTTGACGTCGGTCAATCCCATCGAAGATAAAAACGTTCGATCGTGAAAATTCTTCAAAACTAAGTTTACACAACGCATATAAATATAAAACATACGGTAGAGCTCCATTGATCTAAACATATTGTGGGACGAGTCAGTTCGAACAACTGAAATATTCGGATGATAGACGTTCACGGACGAACAACCAATAGAAATACGTCTATTGGATATCGCAAAGCTGATGAAGAGAAGTTTCAGTCATGTTCGTTCACGTAGTTCGGCTTTAAATAAATAGAATTTCCGTACACATTCCACAGTCAAGGTACGTTAAATCAATCGTCTTCCTCTCACGAGGTTTCAAAGAAAGTGGCTGCTTTCCAACAAAGAAATTCGATGGATAAACGTGCTCAAAACAAAGAGATCGCGATGGACACGGTCTGTGATGATAAAGACGCAGTACGGAGTGAACGGGGGAGACTCACAGTGGAAAGCGTGCGAGAATCATCGTTTCCAAGGGCCTCGAGAGAGTGTGGGATGGAGATCCTTGATCAGAGAGGGTGTCAGTGACGCTGCGAACGGCGAATAGGCCGGTAACAACAGGCTCGAAGAATCGTCTCCTTTGACAGCACGTGTTAGCGGAAAAATTCTCGCGGGATCCGTATGTTTTCTCGTCGAATTTTCTTCCAGCTTTTTCCGCTTGTTGTGGCTCGGCCGCGCGTTACAGCCGACTCCGATGACTGTCGACTAATAATAGACGGCACGGCCACGAGCGAGCAAGCGAGCGAGCAAGCGAAACGAAACGAAACGAATGCGAATATACAGCCACACGATACCAGCTTACATACGTATTAATGCGAGCTGCACCGTGCTCTAACAGTGGACTGAAAATATCCCGACGAGAGTCATCCTCGGGTGTCGCCGAAACACGCGTTTAGGGTAGATCCGAAAATTGTCGAGCGCGGACGTTGTACGGCCTCTTCATGGTCGCATCGCTGCCCGAACGCGTGTGTTCCTCGAAAGACCGCGAGAGTGTGGCTGAAGAAGAATGAGTGATTAGGATGTGTAGGGTGATTAGAGATAGTGACATAATAATTATTTGTACCTGATAACCGTTGCGTGTAAATTGTACACCGCAGTAATTTGATTAATTATAAAAAAGAAGAAAAAGGTATATACAATGACAGCTCTGTGTGATAGAAAAGGAAGGAATACAATTGTGACTGAATGTTTGAAAATTGGTGAATGAGAGTGTGAAATGCATACCATTCTTTAGAAACGTGATAAATGTAAATAAAAACAAAAATACGATCTAGGGAACTCGGAACAGCTTGCGAAGACAGTACCTCCTTACACTCGGTTCGCAACGATCGGCACAAAGCGCTATTGATATCGGTCGAAATTTCTTTCAACTATAATTGAATTACTTCTAAGATGAAATACCTCCAACAGCTTATTCTGTTCTCTAGACTGCTTCTTTAAATAAAAGACTGTTTGAAATGTTTTGAGATGAAATGTAACAAATCTGAAAAAATAATTAATAATAATTTCATTGTTTATACAAGTGGCAATAGTGTTAAGTAATAGTTTACAACTGAGCGGTAATCAATAATACTAATTTCTAATATTTTTCCAATAATTATTAATTAATTTACAATTATTAATTGAACACCTTTGTAACTGAAGTTAATTTTTTGTAATAAATATTAATAATTCGTAACTAGTTGTAAATTGAAATAATATCCAAAGAAAATTCAGTTAGAAACGTGCAACACGTTTTTGGCGTTGGATCCATTTCCGTTTGGATCTTAAATATCTATGACTAACGCAATATCCAGTTAATGTATTCGTAATTCTAGATATACAACATTTACACTGGACTGTCCTTCATTTTACATTATTCATACGTTTTCAGCGCATCTATATATCATAACTTACCTTTGTCGCTTCTTCTTTTGTGTGAGACAAACGTGCAACGCGCACCATCTTCGTCGCCGATTATTCAAATAAATTTATCGTTGAAAACCGTTGAACTTCACCAACCGTAATTACACTGTGCACATCAATAAATATATTATTATCACTACGCCTATTGTATTGTCACGTCATATTATATTGTTTAAATTTTTAAACGTACAATTTACAAACTATTATTTAAATATATAACCGTTGTGTCTAAACATTTTTTTATCTACAATTTTATATTTGACCAATCAGGATCAAGTTGTTTCAATATGGATGCTGGATTCAACGATCACTTATACTACCGACAAAAGTTAATTTTATCGTGAACGGGTTACTAACCTTCGTTAAAACGCATCGCAAATGATGAAAATATTCGGGAGAAATTACTTCGAATTTAAAAAATCTTCGAAAAATTCTATAATTCGTTTAAAATGTTCTTGATATAATCGTTCGTTCGGTCGCAGTTTCGTTTAGCCGGTACTGAAGACCGGAAGTGAGCCGCAGCACTAACGTCGTTCTCGATGCTGGCACTCGATCAACCGATTCGAGACGACCGCGAACCTGTATTCAAATTATCGCGATGAATCATCGTTCTGTTTATTCGCAATTCTAGACTCGATCTAGGTATGAATTTCGAATATTACCTACGACGCACTTTTAGTCTAAATGTACACGATTACCATATATTGGTAAAATATGGTGGACATATCAAATATAGGTCTCAAAATGCTTACGGACTTCGAAGTATGCGGTGCATGCAACCATAACATGTCAGAGATTCATTTAGATTCAAAATGTCCAAATTTAGAAATCTAGAATTTGTACATCGCTTCCGTGATAATTATTCCTTCAAATAAATTTATAGAACACCATAAACACAACCCGTGTTTCAATTCAATTTCTTTAAATATATTTTTGTATTTATTATAATACATTTCGTGAATTTAAAAAACTTGCGAATTTTCGAATTTTAAACAATTAGTGTTTCACTTCGTATTTCATTTTCCGGAACGCGAAATGATTGACCCGGTAAATAATAAGATCAGTATCGTTAAGAATATGTAGTTTTACCTGGAATTACGACGTAACCATTGAGATTTTAACACACGTTAGTATGTTACGCGTTCACTCTTTCGAAATGTTGTGTTTTGCCGAGAACGGAAGGATGCATGGCGTTGGAAAGCAATGCCATTTACGCGTGCACATGTCGCGAGCGTTAAAGCAACTCAGGCGGTAACAATCGAGCTGGATCATCCACGATCCGTTCGACCGTCCGTGAATCTTCAACCACGCACAATCCCACCCACGCAAATGACGCTGATTCTCCATACTCATTGCATACACGCACGTGCAATCCGTCATTAGTATGGCGCACAACGTATGCATGGTTTATAAGTCCTTTGCACGCAATCAGCTGTTTTCATCAAACTATTAACTCTTTGAGCTTGACTATAGCAATAATAGTACAACGTTTTAGATCACTTGAGCGCCATCGGTAGGAGAGATAATGTTACTATGACAATAATAAAATGGATGATTAAAAATGGCAATTTTAATGAAGGTTCATGACATTTCGAGTTTGGATGGATGCCGGAAATGTACGGACATAATCGAGTGGATGAAATATTTCGGGTTAAGTCGGAGGAAATCGGGCAGGTTCGAGCTAATTCGGCTTAGTTAATTTCAAATTTAAAAACTAAAAAATCTGAAATTCTAAAACTTACAAATTTGGAAATTTGAAACTTTGTTTCAAGGATAAAAAAGATAAAAAGAAATCAAGGAAAATTTGTTGTCACAAATCATTATTTATTTGTAAATACGATTCAGAGGATTACAAACCATAATAGCAATGAATCAATTATAGAATCTATATTTCTTTTAATTGGAAGCATCAAACCATTTATCACTTATTTCGGCCAATGGCTAGTTATTTAATTTACATATCATTCGATGATACTTTATTTTTCTTCTTTTAAACTCTTAACTAATATATGTATATCTTGTGCCTCGTGGGGTAACTATAAACACTTCTTTGTTATTAATACCTCAAACAGAATATTATAAAAAATAAATCTTAATTTCTGCTAAATTCGTTTAGTATGTTTTTTCGGTTGTCGCGACGAAACGTAACATACAAGATCTAAATAGAGCACTAGGTGCTAACGATAATTGATTTCTTAAGGTGTACAAATCAATTACAGTATGCAGGCCGCTTTGAATTGAATCAAATTAATGAGTATCAGCACCAAAGTGGTTGTTGCAAAGCATATCGGTAGAATCTACCTACAAAGTTCATTATTTATATTAACGATGAAATTCTATATAAATTCTAATATGTTTCAAAACGATTTCGATTCTTATACGATGTTTATAGTTATAAAAAAACGGATAAAAAATTATAGTACATTACACAGATATGGTAATACGTTATTACATCATTGCTGATGTAATTATTGTTTTTGTTTTATCTTTATCAATTAAATACTAATTCATTTCATTATAAACCTGAAAAATTAACATCGTTTGCGTACGTTTTAAGTCTTAATATCTCACTACAGAAAGATCTTTGAACGTTAAGCACGACGAACAACTCTGTAGACAGATTCTCACTTCAACATCGAAAATACATCATTCGACACGTACGGAAAAAGTGGCTTATAAATTATCCTCTCTGAATATACGCTTCTTTATAATACAATACAATTTGCGAATATCATCGTACGCTTTTCTTTCGTGTGTAATGTAATCTTATATATTATACGCAATTTGTTTAATGTATGCATAGTCGAAATGTAGCGTCAAATTCGCAGCAGAGAGACCATGGGATGTAACGTTCTAACATTTCGACCATGGGGTATATTCGCTGTAAATATAGCTAAAATTGTAATGCCAGCTAGTATGGCCTGTGAACACTTGGGTAGTTTGAAATTTCTTGATGAGCGGCCAACAATCATTCTAAACACTTATCCTTTACCACAGTGATGGACAGATCATGTACCCGACAAAGAGCTCACGGGCACAAGTGACTTCGAATTTCTAAATTTGAATGTTGACCAAGCAAAATTTAACGAGTGCTGTGCTCAATCTTCCATCATCGCAAGATCTTTCTATATTGCCAGTTTCAAAAATTTTACGCTCCTACAGTTTCGCTCATGGCAATATAACAAGAGAATATTGTACTCGTCGGTTCCGGCCGCTTACACACTCATGCACCGCGTCCTCGCGAGCACAGTTGCCCATCACCGCTTTATACTATAGTTTATCTTTACTAATATTGTGTGTACGACAAAATCAATATATTAGTATTTTCAATAATATATAAATACATGTAACAAATAGACGTCAATTAAATAAATTGCAATACAATATGATGTCACACTGAGCATGTAAACACGAGTGTAAATACGAAATATATATTTTATGATATCGGCAGCAAGTCAACGTTTCGCAGTAACATTGTTACCATGGTAACTTGTTTTACAGAAAATTAGGAAAAGAAAAAATTTGTCTCTGTATCAGAAGTAAGCACTGGTTAAAATAATAACGAATGCACGAGTACCTTTACAAAAAATATTTGTTTGTTGAAGATTGGAATACATTGCGGTTTAAACTCACTTGTTTCTTAGGAACTTTCAATTGTACAAATGCAATTCCGTTGCAGTATTACGCAAACATTGTCTATGACTATCGTGCAAACTTTGTTATTGTTTACATTATTGCCATGGAAACGTTATTACTGCTGAAAATATTTTCCGAAATGAACAACCAGATATGGAATTTTGAGCGGCGGAGCGGTTGTGGTAGCTGTTAATATCTTCGTATATTAAGTCTATTCGTCTTTTATTTCCTTATTTTTTAATTAATTATATTTAAGCACGCGTACACTGTAATAAAATTACACGCCCCGTGTACGGACTTTTAAATATACAAGTGTTACAGGATGGTTGAACCTCAAACTTGTATTAACAGTATAATTTATGAACCTCTAAAAGTGCTAGAATTTTTCAGTCTGTTGCACTTAGCGTAAATGACATTTTGTAGATAACTATATATGAATATCCAACCAACCTGTGTATCATATATACAAAACACAACAGGTGATTACGTATTAACGGGTTAATAAAACGTATGTAGCATTTGACTATAATGTATGCAAATAACGGATTCTGTTACAACGTTGAGCACGTTTGTAATTAACGGTAAATAAGTAAATAAAAGTCTTTTCTTCCTGATTATTTATCGTTCACAAATATAAATGTACGTGTGTGTGTATGTATATGTACTCTTTCCTTTTCTTATTGCATGCTACCAAATAACTGCTGCGTCGCTGTTCTTAAAGCATAATCTTAATTGGTATTTTTATTTTAATTATATTTGATAAAAAAAAAATTAGCTAAATTTAACTGCTGCATATCCAATAAAGTACTGGTGTATTGGACCTATCCTTTTGCTACTCCATCTACATCTTTATAAAATCCCTCCCTGAGACACAAGGATTGGTCATGGATATCCAGCAGTTAGGCCGAAATGCTAAGCATTTTCCACTATAAAAAAGTTGGCAGTTAGCCTATTTCAATCATTTCTGTATCTTCCATGTTTCCATGTCCAACTCCATTGTGTCTATAAATTAATATATTCCAGATTTCAGAAATTTAAATAATCATGTAATTTACATCAAATGTATTATACTATGTTTGTGTACGACATAGCGATGCATTATTAAAATCACTGAATATGCTTACCTATGATTTTGTACATGTGTATTATGTAAATGAAAGTGCGTTCCTCGTGGTGAGAAACCTCGCATGTTACCTCTACGTGGACTTCTAGCATTTATTACTCGTGGTTGGGAATACATATCTTCCAGTATGCTAGGTGCTACATACGTAAATCCCTAAGATCCGTTACAACTAATTAGTAATACAATAAAACTTTCCAGTGATTGTATCAAAACAAGCAATATGGGAAAACACACTTGAAATACTCTGTTAGCAGATTCACTTAATGTATACTCAGCAGGAGAGTCTATTGGTGCAGATGTCGTAAATGTTTGGTCAAACTGAGACACATCATCTTCACTGGCTAATGTTGGTTTAAAAGGTGGTTCTAATTTGCGAGAAATCACATCATCCCAGTTGATATGCTTGAAAAATTGGTGACTCTTTATTTGCTCTGCATCTGATGAACCAGATCCTAATCTTTGTGAAACTTGTCTCTATAAATGATAAGACCAAACATTAAAATTTGCATTAACAAATAACTTAAAAAATAGTAGCTTCTATGGTCCACAAAATCAACCTTCAACAATTTTCGGATAAGGTCCCTAGAATCAGGTGTCAAGTACTGAGGGAGATTTAATTTACCACGTAGAATCTTTTCAATGGTCTTCTTTCTATTATCAGACGTAAATGGTGGCTAAAAGTTTAAAATATAGATATTAATAAAGTGACCTTCTCAATTTATATTCAAATACTTAAAAACACTTACTAAACCTGTAAGCATATCATACATTAAAGTGCCTAAACTCCACCAATCTACTGCCTTACCATGACCACTTCGTGTTAAGATTTCTGGGGCCCTTTTATCAAAACATTACTATTATTAATATCAATAAACTAAGAAATTCAGATTGTAGTTGTACTAAAGTTTTCCTTACATATATTCTATAGTACCACAGAATGTATGTGTAACAGTACCATCTTGAATATGCTCTTTACACAAACCAAAATCAGTTAATTTTATGTGTCCTTCTGCATCTAGCAAGATATTTTCTGGTTTCAGATCTCTACAAATTTATTTACAATATAATCATTAGTTTAAAGATTTAGAAAAATACTTAAATTTTACAGTAAAATGTGTACTTATAAAAACATTAAAATACCTATAAATAATTCCCTGTAAATGAAGATGTTGAAGAGCCAGTATTATTTCTGACAAGTAGAAACTATAAAAGTGAAACATAATATAGTTTATACTATCAGAACTAAGTAATAATTCACATGATTACTGCTAAGATCTGTATCATTTCACTTACCAAGCAGTTTCTTCAAGGAAAATGCCTTCATCGTTCAAATGTCGAAATAATTCACCACCACACATGTATTCCAAAATCAAATACAATTTGCCACCAGTTTGAAAAGCATACATGAGGTCTACGATGAAAGGATGCTGCCAGGTAAAAACACATATACACTTATACTTTGAGGATCTTTTACTACATGTTAATTGTGATAAATTATAAGAGTTACTAATATCTAATTACAAGCATCTAATTTTTTCTACTTTGTTCTTCTGATTGAACAATGTAATAAATTAGACGGCCAAAGATCAAATATCGTCTGCATCAGTTAAATACATGCAATTTGAACTTACTTTCACAGCTTCCAAAATGTTTCTTTCAGCCTTAGTGTGTGCAGTATCTTTTTGGTTCCTTATAATGGAGGCTTTACGCAAGACCTATTTTCCAAATAAATATATTCAACGTAAAACATACAAATGTAAAACAAACCTATAAACATAAGTCAAATCAAATAAAAAATCAATAGTTAACATATCTATTTTTATTTTGCCTGTAAAAAACAATAATAAACAGGAAAACTTATTACTTTGTTTTATCATGACAGCTGTCTTTTATTTCTTAATACTTTTTTGGTTCTCTTAATTTTAGGAAAAAAAATTCATATATAATTCTGTGTGATTCTAAATGAATTGATTTGTACTTTGTTGAAGTTCATAAAGCTGTAAATGAGAAATCTATTAGCTAATATTATTTTTTGTTATAAATTTTATTCATATTATGTATAAGGTAAAAAGAAGATGGGTGGATAAAGGCAATTTTTTGCCTACTGCATTGTTGAAAAAGAATTTTAACAAATGAAACATTATATTAAGTCATATAAAGTTAAAGATGTACTCCTTATGTCTTTGTAACTTTATTGTGTAATTATTTGTTTAAGTATGATACATGACCTTTCAAGGCTCAGCCATTTGTCAATTTGTTGTTGCTTTAACTGTAAAACAAATATATCTCTTTAAATATCCAGTGTTTATTAAAAACCATTCTCCATGTAACAACACAATACCTTTATAGCATCAGGTAGACATAAACATTGATATTATAAATATACATGGTATCAATATTATATTGTTCTTTTTAAAATACATATAATTAAGAAAATGTACTGAAATTGTTAACATACTGTACTCTTAAGTGGCTAATAGCTTTAATTTATTTCCTAGCTGAACTAGTAGACTGTATTAATAACTGTTCTATTTTAATTAATAACAAAGGTGAAATTATTAAAAGAAGAATAATAAAGTCACAATTAACTAACAGGCGAAAAATGATCCTTATCCAGCCACCTTTCGTGAACAATAATTGCTGCGCAGTCCCGATCAAAACAAAGGAAGACAAAAAACTTATATAATTCCGAGTGGAAGGTTGAAATAAAATTTTCCGTCGAACGAGACCGAACGGGTGTATATTTAATTTATTCATTCATACGTACTGTACAAGATCGGTAAAGTATCTAATAAAGAGAAAAGGAATGAATGAAATATTTTGCCCTACCTTCATGGCAAAGATCGTCCCCCTGTCATTACCAGTGATCTTACGCACTTGAAAAACCTTGCCGTAACCACCTTTCCCGATAACTTTACAAAGTTCGAAATCCTGGGGCCCAGCTCTTTCCCGACCGCGATTGACATTCTGTTCCGATATTGCTACCGTTTCGACACCTTCCGATCTAACAACGTAAAATTTCTTGTTACTTCGGAACCTGACGCGAAAGACTGGCATAAGTAATTAAGGAAGGCTTACTCACTCGGTTATCTCATTCACGTTTGGATTTGCATCGTACTCTTCCTACACGTGAAAAGAAAAATTGAGTAGGAAAGCGTTACGGAACGTGGAAAGTAACTGACGATAAGGAAATTGGAGTGCTCGTGTGCAGATGGAGAATTACCTCGCCGATCTCGATAACATCATCGTCCGACTCGTCCCTATTTACCGTGTCCGCATCGTGCAATTCGATATCGAAAACTGCGGCCATTCCTACAACCGACTAACTTAAACTTGACGAGATTTCGCGGCTGCCAAGGAGAGGCGAATTATTTCTTTTGTAACAAACACGACGATAGCACAACAATATTGTTACACGGTCAAAACCTTGAATTACTGTGAACAAGCTGCCCTGTCCCAAGGCATACCAAACACCCTCTCCTTCACGAGTGATCCGATTGGCTGTGCAACTCGTCATTCTCGGGTTATCAAAGCGGGAGTGTACACTCTTTTGTCCAATCAGAGGAGGCGGTTCAAGTTTCACGAAGGAATTGACAACTATGAAATTCTTCGCACTGTTATCATATTTTCTAATTATGATTTTAGAATTTTTCGCGGTTTGTTTAAATTTTTGTTAATATCAGAAAGTAGCAATACACCGGTATTGTTAAAAATATATGTTAGTCAAAATAGGAACAATTGTATTTCTTACTTTGCTTGCTACTGCACACTTAACAAAAGCGCATATACGCACGCCTATGTCACTTATCCTGACAAAATATGTTGCACATAAATAATTAATATTTTAAATAGAAAGTAGATAAATTTTTAAATATTTCTCATAACTGAAAAGTTTTATAATTTAGTATTGCTGACACATTAATTAAATAGGTGTCAGATATATTGAATGAAAAATAATGGATGACTTATCGTGTAAATAATACCCGACAATCGAGAATATCTCATAAGTAGGTGTCACCATTTTACCATTGATAACAAGTCATTGGATATTATAACGCATCATAGAATAGCAAAAAAGACTAATAATATTTAATTACTGTTGTGCAGATTAATACGAAACTATATAACAGAAGATGGTTGTACGTCATCACGTTCAAGGATATGAGAATTTTTTTAAATTCATTAAGAATTTAAAAACTAATGACCCGATTTATGTGCTATACGGTGGTACAAAACTTGCTAATGGCAATAGTTGGTGTCCTGATTGTGTCCAAGGTATAATTATTCAAATGCAGTCATTTATTTTATACATAACCTAGTTATAACATTTTTTTAACACAAAGCATAGTTTGATAATATTGACATTTTTTTTTTGGTTATGATTATACTTCATCTTATTCTATTGAAAATTCTAAATTACATATACCAATAAACTATCAATAAACATGATTTTATTTGTATTACAGCGGAACCTTTTATAGAGCAAGGATTTAAAGATGCACCTGAAAATGTAAATTTAGTTGAAGTTGAAGTTGGAGATCGTCCCTAGTAAGTATATTAATAGAATTCACATCAATGTACATTTATGATATCTTCCTTATTGCACACTTAATATTGGAAATATTGGCAATGTTGAGAATATTCTTGTATTACCTATAATCTATGCCTGAAAGCTTCAAATAGTGTTTGCATTTTAAATGTGATAATCCAAATCATAAACCTGTACAATTATTTTTTGTTTCAGTTGGAAGGACTTGAAATGTCCATTTCGAACAGATTCCACTACAAAGTTAAGAGTTTTGCCAACTTTAGCAAAGTGGGGTACACAAAAACGCTTAGAAGGTGATCAGTGCCAGCAAGTTGATCTTATTGAAATGTTATTAAACGATGAAGATGATTAGATACTTTACATTTACATAATTCAGTATTGATGATCAACATGAATAATTCTTTAAGTTTTCTGTGATAAATATTATATCAAAATAGTTTTATACTATAAAATTTGTTTTTATTATCAGAAACCTTAGTAGAATTTCCTATCCTTTCATTCATTACAAATGTAACTGCTTGTTTTTACAAATGCGTACACAGTTAAGTGGAATGCATAAGTAAACATTGTATGTTTATAATAACAATAGGTACAGTCACCAACAATGTAAAAGTAAGAAATTATATAAATTTTCTATAAAATTTTTTTGGAATGACTTTTGATACCTAGTTATAAAGATAAAAAAAATATAACATTGTTTATAACAAAATAATACATTGTTTTATATATTATTTTATCCCAAGGAATGTGGTACTTGGATGCAGCTCTTTTCATTCTGTATCCATTGCTTTCATTAGGAAGTAGCTGGCGTTATTTCTTGCGAAACTGCTGGTGGTATAACTCGTATAGAATAATGAATTTTCTTATTTCTCAGAATACTGTAACTGTTATCGAACACGACGGAATCTGAAAGTGATAAAATCAGCGGTGAATTATGATCGACAAACATCGTGTTTTATCGATTAACATGATCAGCGCTTACACGTGGCAGGTACTTCACAGGTCAAGATTCCAATTTCTTCTAATTGATGAGCGGCTACTCGTTTCATAGGTATAACTTCTTTTTTCTCCCCGTTTGTGTCCTTTTTCAAGATACCGAATCTAATATCGTGATCCTCAGTTCGGAATTCCCAACTGTGAACGTTCACTAATTAACAAAACTGAAATCACATGAGTGTGTATAATTTATACATATACCTCAACAGAGATCCCATTTCAGATGCTGACATATCAAGCTCCAGTTTGCCACCTTTGCGAATCGTGACCGTTGTATAATCTTGCATGTCCTTATCTGTGTTATTCACGTACAATTCTTTTGGGATTTTACCACCGAGCCGAATCTGAATGCAGTTTAAGTTATTGAAATCAACATGTTAACTTGGATTTAACAGTAGAATCCTCACCTTTGTTCCAAGTTTTGGATTACCGTCGGGATCTTTTAAGGTACCTCCAAAGTAAGCAGGTACCTGGTCCTTTGCAACATTACTGAATATCGCGGATTGCCATTTCGGAGGATCAGCCTTGTATATTTGAATCTTGGACAACGTGTACTCGTTCATGAATTTTTTCGCGATGGAGAATGCAAAAGTAAACACTTTCGGAGCTGAAAATTAATATGTACGTACGCTCTTGTTTTACAATTAATAATCTATGACAAGTCTTAATGCATATCGTAAAATATACCGTTAATTATGTAACAGGTCTTTAAAATTTCGGGATAATTAGCCTCGTACATTTGAATGAGAGTGATGACGACTTCTCCAGCTGAAAAGGAATATGTATATAAAGTAACGCAGAAGTATTCCACATTTGTCCTAAAGGACTGATTGTCCATCAAGAAACCAATATTACCTGGTCTCCACAGATATTGCCTCAAATTAAAACCTTGCATATCAAAGATCACAACCACCTGTCCTGCTTCTGGTCCATATTTCTTCATCTGTTCTCTGCATATTTGCAGATACTCCTCAAGATGTTTTATCGTAATTCGTATCATGTCCCTTCTCGAAACGACATGTAAAATTCCATAAAGATCAAGTGCATCGAAATACACGACGATCACTGGAAAAATATCGGTCATTTAACAAAATTATTATAGTTCTAATTTTGTATGGAAAGAAGAATACTACCAGGAGCTCCATCCTTATCGTAGCCACATAAGCCGTGAGGTAAATGATCATACAAAATTTTAGGGGGATCCCACTCGGTTAATTTTTCCACTTCGTACTGCTTTCGCCATTCCAAGGACTGTGAACGATAATTATAGTGGTTTGGATAAATTTGAAAATATGAAAATATTGTTGATCACAATAGAAACAAAATACAGTTATGCAAAAAGCAAATTTTCCATGCTACTGTACTTCCAGCTCAGGGAACGCCTATCTGCTTCTAAGATCTAAACATCATCTAAACCGATAACTAAACCGTGAAGTGCAACTTTTTTCTTTCCTGAAGAGAAAGGATAATTGGCTGAAGTCAACACACTTTGCAAGAGTAACTTCAGAGAAGAAAGTACAAAGTGCATTAGTGCTGAAGTCTTTCACGTTTTTGAATTGCACTAATTATATGGAAGTTATCACTTCAATCATTAAGCTTCCTACTTTAATTAAGTGAATGTACTCATGTAATTAAATAAGAAGAATACGTCTTTTTTCATAAAGGAACCAGAATTCTAATCAAGTGAACATTGGAAGTCTTTAGAAAAAAGTAGGGTGAACAATAATTAGGGTGTCCTAAATTAGCTAATAAGAATAATTTGTGAAAATGAATTAAATTTAAGGTTGATCATAAAATATAAAAAGGAGTTAGTCTATCTATAAGGAGGTCACCTTTCCAGTTTTGCAACTTTTAATCTACGCATGATCGAGATGTACTGATTACAAAACGTAGACAACTCTTGTGTAACACCTTGTTTCTTATTTTTATTTACAGAACTCTTGTCGAGAAAACTGGCACCCCGTTCATAAGACATTACAACTGTTTGCACTCCACGATCATTTTGCTCTCTCTTTGCACTTCGAGTTGGAACAAGTTGAACATCTTTGCAGTTTTCTTTTTGCACGCCCATTCACCGAGGTGTTTCGTGCCACATGAAACTTACAATTTATGACGAATGTACAGAAGTTACATCCAAAAGTTACATCGCAAATACCTACTCAATTTATTCTACTTTCGTTTCGCTGTTTCGCAATTTTACTGCAATGTTACGACGAGCAGAACGTTAAACTTATTTTATTGAGGCCGCGTAATGCAGAACGTGTTAACGCGTCTAGAAGTTAATATTATTAAATGTATGCATATTGACGTGTATCTGAAGAACCACAGTTGATGAACAGCATCGTTAATTGATGCACGGAACGTTAATTAGTTCGATGTAATTAAGAAATATGAGAGTGAGGAAATTAATTCATTTTGTTAATTATCGAGCGTAGAAAATATACACATCACCGATCAAAAATTTCTATGCATATTAAGTTTCTTTATTAACACGATTTAACTATCTCTGAATTAATAAAAACACGTGAAAGTCCTCGATGAATTATATCCGTTTTATTATGATGTACAGTAGAAAATTTATGATGTACCAGCAATTCGACAGTTTCGTTTTTTTTGTTTATGTTTTTGTGGAACGATCCATGCTATGGGATAAGACGCGCAAGAAATATGTGAAAGTACAGCTATAAGTTTCAATGTGTCCCCCTTTCGAAAGGTTCGCCAAGATTTTTTGAAAGCAGAAGTGTTGATGTTTGTGGAGTTCTTGCTTAATTTAAGGCATTTTATCGCGGGGTTTATTATGAAACTTGTAGTTCGATTTATATTTATTTACACTTTAAAACATACTCACGTCTCGAAGCATCTTCTCCGCGGCCGCTGGATCCCATTTTCTGGCTGAAAATAGTAAATTATTTTCAATTATTTTTCTTGCAAATTTTTGGAAGCATATGATACACTAAAGTATGATTCATTAATAGTTAATTTTAAAAATGTATAAAACAAATTTTTTCATTACAAAACTTCAGAATGAAAGAACAATATTGAAATATAATATTTAGATTGACAGTAGAAACGTATTTTAACAATTCTTCTAAGTTTTCTTGTTAGCTAGTTAAAGTGTAAAGAGGTTACAGAACAAACGTAATTACTAAAAAAATATTCATCGACTGTTTGTCTTCCACTGCCTTTTTTGCAATTCATATTAAACATACTTTCCAGGATTCTGTCCCACCTTGGATTTCCTCGAATTTCAGTTTAACCTTTTACAGTCTAACATTGGATCTGACTCCTACTCTTTTTATTCGCTTTATGTTAATACAATGTTTTATTCCAGGAAAAATATTTTAAACCACTAACGCAAAAAAGTTTATGATTTGAATAAAATTACTATAGAAAATCGAATGAACTGTTCGAGACACAATCAGTCTTCCGAAGAAATATTTAAAAGCATACATTTGCATAAATATCCGCAGCTAGTGACAACTTACAAATAATAAACTTCTTGTAATAAATCAATTTTTGTAAACTTTACAATTTTCAGTTTCTACAATTTTGAAATTTCTTGACTCAAAAATGTCAAGATCCGAGAATCTACGTCTATAAATTACATCACTGCACCTCAATGTCCATAATCTGCAGTTGACTTGCCCATTACAGCACTATACCATACACGCTCCTCATCGTGGCAGTCAACGAGTTAACAAAACCGTAAAGAGGTTTGAATCGGTGTTAGTAGTCTTGTTGCCAGGCAATTGCAGTTACATTTATCGTCTTCAAACCGCGTCGATTACAACGAAATAAATAGGCACAAACGAGTGTCAGCGAGATAGGTTTCGTTTCTTCTTAGGCACACACGCCGATCGACCTTACAGCGAATTTCAAGAATTCATACCTCTGAGCCAACGCAGTAGAAAGTAATCATCGTGATGAGGCTGCAGGATGTCTTGAACCGACCGCCTAAACTGAAACCAGAATTTTCTTTAAATTATTCCATTTTACACAACCGCATTTCGTCACACTGACGTAATACATGCATTCATTACTTCCTTTTACTACGATACTATGTTGCTCTTACGTTCTACTTCATTTGCTATTACGTAATAGCATTAACTAGTATAGGTAATTATACCGCTTAACAAGTTTTAATCTTTGTGGAATTATAGAGTGCGATAAATTACTATCTTTGAAATTAATATTGATATTCAACGTTATAAGAGGAAGGTTGTTGAACGATTTATCGAACTCTTCCTATATTGCCATTTTCATAAGGTCATTCTATACACCACATTACATAACATGTACTAAATTGATGCCTTTCACAAAGACTCACAATATTAAAAAACTTTTAACTTCTAGAATTTCTACTTCAGCTCGCGGCTATATAAAAGAAGTGCATTTTACAACAACGGTTCTCTGCGCTAAATTTCAGAATAATGGAGTATAACATCATAAGTATTTCCTGGTCATAAACTAGTGAAAGTAAAACGTTTTTCTAAGTAGTGCTTTGATGACTTTGCGATTACTGCAAAAATATGCGATTGTTTTATTTCGTGCGGTTTACAAAACCGCTTGGACTTTCACGTAAGTTTCTCGGGGCCAATCCGGTTATCCGCAATCAAAATATCATCCTGTGGTATTTTTCTTTCCCTTTCCAAAAGTTCAGACTTTAATACCCGTTTTACCGGTTTAATTATCGATCACTTCATTGTCACATTCTTTCAGTTTTATTTAACAACTTAAGCAATAGTTGTACCTGTATTTTAATGGTAACTGTTTTGCAAGTGTAAACTGTCAGAAGAGTTGACCAATCAAAGATGACAGTAGTAATTTGATCTATCAAAGATCACGGTAGTAGATTGATCAATCAGACGTCAGTAGTTTGATGAATCAAAGACTTGTCCTTCCATACAAATAGACGTAATGTTTACGAAAAATGTCTCTTATTCGCAATCGCAGAAAAAGAAGTAAGAAAAAATTGTAAAGGTAGAAAGATCACAGAACATATGCAGCAAACCGGTTTTTCTTTGTTAAAAATCCTTGCACATAGAACGGGACATATAACATCCGTCTTCTGCGATCTTACTACATTTTCATAATTACAGTGATCACAATTTGCCTCTTTTATATACACAGAAACGACATTTACAACTTAATTATTTGCTACTTAATTAAAGAAAAACTTTACATAATTTAAACAATATCACTGACTCCATAATTCACAATGTACATTTCAGGACAATGTGCCTTTAAAGTTGAAAGGTAATAAAACTTTTATAAACTGCATATAATCTTATAAACTACATATTTATATAACGAATTGACTGTATAAATGAAATAACTGATAGATTTGTATAGGAATCTTTTCAAAGTTATAGGAAATAAATTTGAATAAAGAATAGCGTTTATAAGATTGTCATGCGTATCGTGTTCAGTCACTATTGCACATATCTTTCATTTGTGATATACAGTTATCTTCGATCACTTTCCGATTAATTAAAAATTTAAATACAATGCTAATCAACAGATATCGAATTTAATTTTCAGAACTAATTGCATTCTCCGTGAAGCGATAAAATGTATACAAAAATTATTGAAAAATAATCACTTCAAGAGTCGCTTGAGCTTTGTAAAGAACGGTCTTTGGAGTCTTTATCTTTGTTCCCTTTCAGACAGAATAAAAATAATACATGATAATATCATGATAATTAGGATTCTATTCTTACATTTATAACAGTAAAAAATACACGCATTGTATCTTATTTTAGAAGACATTTTCATATTGTTATTGAAATGCAACGCTTTCTTTGACTGAGAGTTTCTTTGCTTTAAAAAATCAATATTTCAGGACATTCAAGACCTTGAAAAATGACTTCACTGTTGATTTTGTATAATTCTGAATTGTTCAGATAAGCATTTAAAGTGAATACTGATATTGATCATTATACAGATGTATACAAACACGATAGAAATGACAGAAACACGATAAAACCAGTTCCTTAACTTTTCTACAGCATTATAGATGGTTACGATACACCGTTATTTTGGAACTTTCTTGTGATCAGAAACCTTAGATTATTTATTAACATTTATGGTTTGGGTTTTCGTATTTCACAGAGTTCGAAAGTTTGATCATTGGCGTGACTATGGACTATAGGAGGTCCCTTCTAGTTTAGAAAATATGAACTAGTAATTCCACGTAGCGTGAGGAACGTGTTATACCACATTTGTACATAGATACTTTCGAGTTCACAAATTTCTGATTTTTACATTTCAAAATTCCTAGATTTCCTAATTTTTAAATTTGGAAAGTTTCAAGTTTGTAAGGTACTAATTTTCAAAATTCTCAAATTTGTAAATTTTACAGTTCTTTAATTTCCTATTCCTTAATTCCTTAATTCCATCACTCTTTAATTCCATCATTCTCCAATTCTATCATTTCCTAATTCCATCATTTCCTAATTCCATCATTTTCTGATTCCATCATTCCCTGATTCCATCATTCTCTAATTCCATCATTCCCTAATTCCATCACTCTCTAATTCCATCATTCTCCAATTTCATCATTCCCTAATTCCATCATTTCCTAATTCCATCATTTCCTAATTCCATCATTTCCTAATTCCATCATTTCCTAATTCCATCATTTCCTAATTCCATCATTTCCTAATTCCATCATTTCCTAATTCCATCATTTCCTAATTCCATCATTTCCTAATTCCATCATTTCCTAATTCCATCATTTCCTAATTCCATCATTTCCTAATTCCATCATTTCCTAATTCCATCATTTCCTAATTCCATCATTTCCTAATTCCATCATTTCCTAATTCCATCATTTCCTAATTCCATCATTTCCTAATTCCATCATTTCCTAATTCCATCATTTCCTAATTCCATCATTT